TTATTTGACTGGGAGTGTTCAAACTTTTGCATTCACAAATTAGCTACTTTATAGTTAGTATTTCCATGCTACCTTTTTTTTCCTGCTCAAATGTTTTAACATCGTAAAAAGCAGCTTTTTTAGAAGTCTAATCCTTCACTAAATCTCAGTGTTATTGTTTTTTTGCCCCCCATACAGTCTTTATTGTTTAATGTGATAATCAAGTCACATAACAGCACAAGCTTGATATAGATGGTTAGATGTTTCCTCTCTGCTTCCTGAGTTCTAATGGTGAGTGTGTGTTGTAAGTTTAGTGGGATGCTCAGCTGTGATGTGCCTGATAGAGTGAGCAGTATTAACACTTTAACTCCCTCATTAACCCACGTTTACGGGCTCAGATGCTAAAACCGGCCTTGTTTCAACGTTAGCGAAGGCTTCGCGCACAGCTGAATCATTTTTCCCTCTTAAAACGAGACAATTCTGACAATGTCTTTCGTGTCCTCGCTGAGCCACAGTCACAGAAAAGCGAAGGGGGTTTCCAAGGTTTAAAATACAGTTTATGATCTGTATGAGAGGCTGCTTATGTTGGCTTCTCATAATTATTTTATGACTAGTTTAACCAGTATATGTGGTTCTCATGTCTTTTATATTTTGTATGTTTTATATCTGTCTTAAATTTGCCCTCCAGTTGAATTTAATTGATAAAAATTTAATAAAAATGTTTGAAGGAGTAGAAAACGTGAAAACGACCCACTGAGACGGAGAGAATATTTCTAGTTCAGTTGTGTCTTTTGGCTTAAAAAAACTCCAAAGAGAATCTTGATTTGTGAAACTAGTTTGTGTTGATTAATAGTAGTACTTATTTATTGATTGATTGATTTGATTGATTTTTATATAGGAATGCACATCAATGACTGGCTGAATCACTGTCTGAACTGGATAATATAGTTTAACAAGCTGACCAAAAACAAAAATCATTAATATCATTGCTTTATTTTAGTGGTAATGAATGCATTAATTAATTAATAAACTGGAACTAAGAAAACGTGACCTAAGAAAAGTTAACCAGATCTTTTTAATATTATTGCGTTATTGAAGAGTGTACAGTCAGTGGCTTAAGCTCTGATCTAGATGATGTAAACAAATAAAATGTCTAGTATTATAACAGCCAATGTGTTTTATAGGTTTCCGAACTGGATAGTGAATGTTAACGGAGGTTTACCAACACAAAAGAGTATTGTTTCTTTATTTAACCCTCTATTAATCAATAGTGAACTAGATAATAGAAGCTAAAAAGAATTAGAACGTTATTTAATTGTTTAACCCTTTATAATCAATATCCAATGTGCGATTGGGGTCTGAACTGGTTAGTATAGACTAACAGGAGTTGACCAAAGTAAGAAGATAGAAGTTGAATGGTGCTAGCAACTTTGCAAGAGCTGACCAAAGCAAAAAGATCATTAATGCTATAAACTGTATAAGCTAGTAAGCATATAAGCTTATATAATTTAATATTATTGCATTATTTAAAGGTGTACAATTGGTGGCTTAGGTTGTCTCAGATCATGTAAGGATTTCTTAAAACTGCTTCTCAGACTGATCTACATAAAATGGGCAACAGACAACTAAAAGTGTTTTATATATTATATTATTAGCCATTGATGCGTCAGTTTAATACTTTTACGCTCTGTGCTGTGGATAATACAAGTGGGTAATGTAAGTGGATAACATAAGCTAGCAAAATAGCAAGAGCTGACCAAAACTAAAATCTTTTAGTTTATCACTTATTATTTAAGAGTTTACAAAGTCTGATGAGCTAATAATGTTTGAACTGGACAGTGCAGGCTAACAAAAAATTGACCAAAGCAAAACAGTGTATTCCCTGTGTAATCAATAGTGTATGTGTTATCAGTGTCTGAACTGGACAATAGAATCTGTAAAAGCTGAGGAAGCTGACCAAACAAAACATAATGTTATTTCATTGCTTGACCCTCTATAATCAAAAGCTTATGTGCTATTAGTGTCTGAACTGGACAGCATAGGCTAACTGGAATTGACCAAAACAGAAACGTCTTTCTTGAAGAGAAAGAAGAAAGGTGTTTTGTTTTTTGTTTTTTTTTGCTTTAAGCTTTGAGTGTTAATAAATGAATGATGCTAGCAACTTTGCAAGAGCCGACCCAAACAAAAAGATCCTTAATATTACAAACTGACTCTACTTAATATTGTAAAAAGACTCACAACTCTTTTTATATTATTGCATTATTTAAGAGTGTATGATCAGTGGTTTAGGCTGTGTGGCTCAGACTACGTAAGGATTTCTTAAAACCGCTTCTCAGTCTGATTTACATAAAATAGGCAAATAGACAACTAGAAATATTAAATATTATTAGTCAATGTGCCGTCAGTTTAATATTACACTCAATGTGGTGTCTAAAGTGGATTATGTAAACTAGCAATTAGCGATTACTATTTGAACAGGACAATGCAGGCTAACAGAAAGTTGACCAAAACAAAACGGTATTATTCTGTTATTTAACTCTGTGTAATCAGTTGTGTATGTGTTATGTGTCTGAACTGGACAATAGAATCTATAAAAGTTAAAGAAGCTGACCAAAACAAAAAGTCTTTATTTCATTGTTTTGACCCTTTTATAATCAAAAGCTTACGTGCTATTAGTCTCTGAACTGGACAATATAGGCTAACAGGAGTTGACCAAAACAGAGATGTCTTTCTTTCTTTCCTTCCCTCTGTTCTCTCCCTCCTTTCTCCCTCCTTCTCAACCTATGTTACTAATTGGGTGTGAAGTGCAGGTGTGTGTGTGTGTGTGTGTTGTGTGTGTATGTGTGTTAGCGGCGTATTCAGTGCTTTCCAGGCTAATTGGAGGCAGAATGGATGCTCCCCGTCGGGCTGCAGTTTGGGGCATTAAAGCCAGGCCTCATTTCCGCCGGGCTTTGATATGAGTGACGCCTCACACACAAAAACCCAACACACTGACGAGTTTACAACACACACACTCACACACACTCATTCATCACGTCTAAACACCCCGGGACACACTGAGACCCTGATGGACGACCCAGAACAAGCCAGAGCTGACCTTTGCTGCCCCGTCCACACAGACGCCAGGACCGAGAGACAGCACATTGGCTCTGGTGACAGTGCAGCTAATGTTTCCCCAGAATGAGCGAAAAGCTAAAGTGAGGACCACACCCCGTCTCTGCTGCTATTGTTAGGCCTTCTGCTAATGACGGCCGCCCACCCGGGCCCACCCAGGACACACACCTGCAGTGTGTGTGTGTGTGTGTGTGTGTGTGTGTGTGTGTGTGTGTGTGTGTGTGTGTACTTTATAGTGAACTATTCAGTTTTCATTGAAGTATTTCTTTGAATGCTGCGTCGTTTTTGGTGTAAAGTTTTTGTTGTTTTGGTCTCACTTTATTTTGCTGGTCCACTTCAGCTTGTATACAAACGTTTAAGCTGTTAACATCTTGTATGTTGAAGCTCAGTTGGGTTTGGAGGCCAGGACTGACGTTACGTTTAGAGTGAGTGTTAGCTTTAGCACTAGGGAAAAGTTTTAGTTAGAGATGCACCTACATTGGAATTGTGCGCCGAAGCTAATATCTGATATTTTTAATGTACATATCTGTCGATTCTGATACAGAAACATTTGTAAAATGCAGAATTTGGGACTAAATCTGCCTGGATAAGCATTACAGAGAAATGTAACGGTTATTTCTATAGGATTATAAATGCAGTAAATTTACTAAAATGCAGATTAGTGCAGTGTCGCCTGAACATTCAGTTCAATAAATACATTATAAAACACAGAAGCCATTCATGTGGTCAGATTTTGGCTTTTTGGGCTTTTTATAAAAAATTTTGATATTTTTAAGGTCTCACCTTCATTTTTGGTGAAAGTGTACTTTGTTAGCCCCCTTTTACCCTGTTCTTCAGTGGTCAGGACCTCCATGGACCCTCACAGAGCAGGTACTATTTGGGTGGTGGATCATTCTCAGTACTGCAGTAACACTGACATGGTGGTGTGTTAGTGTGTGTTGCGCTGGTCTGAGTGGATCAGACACAGCAGGGCTGCTGAGTGTTTTAGGTGTACAGCTCACACATTGCTAATTGTTGTACATGAGCTTCCATTACTTGTTAGCTACATTAGCCTCATAGCTCCAAAGAAGCAAACTTCAGTCACCAGACTTGTCTTGGCTGGTTAACTTCGTTTGGGGTAAACTTGAGCTCGTAAACTTAATTTTCCACCGGACTGTCAAACTTTCACTTCAATGCTGGAACAGGCTTCAGCACCTCCCATGCTCTTCCCAAGACGTTCCTCTTCCACTGCAATCCGTGTGTAATGCTCCGTACACTCCTTCTTTTCCTCCGTTAGAGCTTTTATTACACATTCCCCCTCAGAAAGAAGCAGTTCCAGCCTCTCTCCCTCTAATGTCTGTTATTTCTGATGCATTACACTCAGACTTCAGGCCGATAAATGACAGGCAAGCTATGGAAAGGTGATTGTTGAGGCTGGAAAATTGGCATTCGCTGTGCCCGCGTGAACGGGGCAGGGTCGTGCTCGGGTTTTGGCGAAGTGAGGACCGAGTCCCCGTCTTTGCGCCTGCAGCGAGAGGACCCGGCCGGCCCTGACATTTGCACACGGAAATGCACAGAAAGTCAGTTATGATGCTTCTGTAAAGGTCACTGTGTGCAATTAGACGCACAGGTGTTGTAGGACAGGCAGCATGTGTGTCTGTGTGACTGAAGGCTCTCGTGGTGAATTTTGTCCCATAAAGGAGCCGTTTTCACTGCGGAGCTGGAACAGGAGACTCACCTGAGTACGAAGTGCTGGACGATATGCGTATATATGTCGAAACTGATTTTTAGTTTGTTATGCAATAATAACTTTATCATATATCCTCAAAGTACCCTGATATGGTGATATTTTGTCAAAAGAATCTTCATTATTGTTCATTTTTTTCTTTGTATGGATTTTGAAAGGTGTTGTTCTGTTTTTTCCTCAGCGTACACCACTGTGTCAGGTGTTAACGGCCCCCTGGTCATTTTGGACCATGTCAAAGTAAGAGTTTATTTATTTATTTATTTATTTATTTATAGTGTATTTTTTTTATTTGTTTGTCTTTAAATATTGGACATGCAGTGTTTGACGTTGAGACCTGATTGATGTTAATCTTTCTGTCTTATGTTCTTTTTCTCTCACTCTTTCTGCCTTTCTTTCCTTGTTCTTGTTTTATTTCTGATGTTCTTTCTGCCTCTTTTCTTTCTTTCTTTCTTTCTGCCTTTTTCTTTCTGTTTTTCTTTCCTTTTTTCCTTTTTCTTTCTTTCTTTCTTTCTGCCTTTCTTTTCCTTTTTGTCTTTTTTCTTTTTGTCTTTTTTGTCTTTCTTTATGCCTTTATTTTTCTTTTTGCCTTTTTCTTTCTTTCTTTCTTTCTTTCTTTTGGCCTTTCTTTCTTTTTGCCTTTATTTCTGCCTTTCTTTCTTTCCTTTTTTCCTTCTTTTTTCTTTCTGCCTTTCTTTCTCTCTTTCTCTCTCTCTCTAGTTTCCTCGTTATGCGGAGATCGTCCACCTCACTTTGCCGGACGGTACCAAGAGGAGTGGTCAGGTGCTGGAGGTGATCGGCAGTAAGGCTGTAGTTCAGGTACGACTGCAGTGTCTCATTTCAGCCTCTACTTCAGCTCTTCTGATCACCTCGACTTAAAAAAGGAAGCACGAAGCTGTCGTTTAGAAATGCTGTACCGTCGATTAATGCAGGGTTAGATTCTCATATTACAGTTAAAGCTGCAATTAATGATTATTCCTGTAATCAGTCGTTCTGTCAACTGTTATTAGATTAATCGTCCACCACTGCCTTTGTCACCTTTTAGAATTCAAAGGTCCATCTGTGCAACATTTTTATTTATTTATTTATTTATTTTTTATTCATGGTCCAGGGAAATGAGGCCATATCGCCCCCTACGCTTCCTGTAGTGTATTACAGTCTGTCAGCATGACTGTGTGGATCATATGAACATTATAGAGCGCTTTTTAAATGTAACAACAGAAGTCATATTGCCCACTACACTTCCTGTAGTGTATTACAGTCTGTCAGAATGAATGACTGTGTGGATCATATGAACATAATGTGCTTTTATTTTAAAGGAAAAGATTTTTTTTTTCCCTCCATAATTGATGTCATCGTCTACTTGTTGCAGCTCTACTCTCAGTGTAGACTTAGCCAGAGTAGAAAAGATGTATGTATATATTTCATGGCCATGAAAAATTTCTCAAGTGACTGTTACTCATCTGTCCATTTTGTGGGTTTTCCATAGTGGAAGTGGTAAAGAGGAAGTGGGCAAAGGCTGAAATATTGCTAAACTAGGGCGGTTCTTTAAACGTGCTGGTTCCATCACATGACTGGTTAATCTTTAGTATGTCTAATGAGCGTTTAGGTATTAATGTATGAGTAGAAATAATTTCAGTAAGCGGATTTACCTAATATGTGCAGCCTTGGGTGCAAAGCTTTAATCAAGCCTATTGAAGCAAATCTAACCGCACCATATTGACTACCTAATGAAGAAGGAAAGTCTGGTTTGTCTGTTTTTTCTCCTGTGTGTAGCAGAATGTTTCACTTCTGTAGGTTTCTTTCTTTTGCCCTGAGATGCAGCTGAAAGAAATTTTTCTGTGGTCTGAGAATGCATTGTGTTCTCCTGCCTACTGAATTTGGAGGGACACAGGGTTCAGGGTAGCATTTATTTTGTTAGTACAGTGACTGTAGGCCAACTGTAAGAGCTAGGCCTAAGAGTGTTTGGGCTGTGGCTAGCGATAGGCATAAACTAACTTGTTTCATAACCACCTATTTATCTAGTGAAATGCTGCTGTAATTTGGTGAAAAGACTGTGATTGCTGAGATCAGATAGATAAAAAAAAATGTGAGTGTGTTAGGGTTGCAATGTATATTCAATAAAATAAAATAAGTAAAATGAAAAAGTCGTTTAAATAACTGTCACAGCGCTCATTAGCAAGAATGCCAACCAATCAGCACTCAGTGGCAAGAATGCCAAGCAATCAGAGCTCAGTAGCAGTAATGCTGACCAGTCAGAACTCAGTAGCAGTAATGCTGACTGATGGTCCCACTGTGGCTGGGCAAGTATGACGATATTTATTGTTATTGTGATAAATTATGTTTCAATACATCACAAATAGTTTATCATGGATATCATAAGTACTTAAAGAACTCTAATCAATGAGAACCTCATTAGTCCTGTTTAACTGGATTTAGTGCAGTCAAGTGTGTGAAATTTTAAATAAAAATCAATAGTAGTTGATGTTATTTCAGTGGATTTTTTTTTAAATTTGGCTTTTTTGTCTGTTCCAACTTACCAGGTATCAGAAAAAATAAATATTGTGGCTTACTGTATACTGTGAAAATGTCTTTAGGTATTGTAGTGTTCCATTTTTACCATATTACTCAGCTTTAGGTCTCGCATAAATGATTAGAAACAAGTTTCACATTTTATTTTTAGCTGTTCAGCTCTGTTAACCCCAATTCATTGAGGACTCGCTCACAGGGGCCCTCTAGCGTTCTGCAGGCATGTTTTTGATATAATGAGAGAAATAAGAAGTGGCTAGGCTCGCCTTGAACCATCTCTGTTTTTATTAAAGCATGCACTTCAGTGCACTGTTTTTATCCGTCTCAGGAGAAACGGCGAGCCAGCAGTTGCAGCACAACTAAAGAAAGCAAGATAATCTACCTGCGCATCACACAAACTAACTAGGTGGCCAGGAAGCTGTTTTCAGTTTTTAAGACAATGTGGGTAGAAAGACGCTGATCCTCTGCTCTCCTGCAGCGCTCATCACCAACCTTTGGTCTCAGCAACCTGGTCAGGGTTGCCAGATTAAGCATGGTCCTAAGAATAGCAATGTAGGCTACTTGCTATGACAGTAGCCTACATTGCTATTCAATTGTTTATAAGTGATATTTGTGCCTTGCTTTGTTTTTTTTCCAAGTTTTAATAATAATAATAAAACAGCAATATACAGCACAATATATGATTTTAAAAATGTTTTATTTGATTTAATCATTAAAATTAAGCTCTTCTTAGCATTCCTTATTTTTCTAAAACATTTAAATACCTGATAGAATATTTGAAAATGAAAGTATTCTGTAGTTCAGCCCTGCAGTACATATCTCACCTGCATCTGAGAGTTAAAATTGAATCCATTGATTAAACTGCAAAAAGTTTAATCTCAAGTTCGAGTGCAGCACCGTAAACTTTGACCTGTCCACAGAGAAAAGACCAGTGCCAGTTACGGGATTCAGTGCACTTACATGCAGATTTGTACACGTGTCACAGTTTATTTTTAATTTTAAAGCAATCAGTTACTCATTTTTTGGGGTGTTTGTGTCCTTGACCAGTTCAGTTCAGTCATCTACAGACGAGTCTGGATGGTTTTTTTGATGTTTGTTTTGCAATCTGCAGGTGTTTGAAGGGACCTCAGGGATCGATGCTAAGAAGACTGCATGCGAGTTCACAGGCGACATCCTGCGCACGCCCGTATCTGAAGACATGCTGGGTAAGTATACAAAATTGGTGTGAAGTTGCTTTTAACTGTACATGATCAGTAGTAATGAAAATATAGGGAATATTTGGAGTAATGGTTTCATATATCTGTGATTGTGATTTAGTTTGATTATTGCGCCCTGGTCATTTTTCCTGCAGGACGTGTTTTCAACGGCTCTGGTAAACCCATCGACCGCGGCCCCAGTGTCCTGGCTGAGGATTACCTGGACATCATGGGTAAAAAAGACACCTTCAGTTTCTTCCCTTTTCCAGCTTAGCCCTACGTTATCAATTATTTATTCAATTATTCTCACTCAGCAAAAATAAATGGCCCATAAGCACACTGAGCGTTATTGACCACTTTTTGACCTTTGACCTCTCTCAGGCCAGCCCATCAACCCTCAGTGCCGTATCTATCCAGAGGAGATGATCCAGACTGGCATCTCTGCCATCGACGGCATGAACAGCATCGCCAGAGGACAGAAAATTCCCATCTTCTCTGCTGCTGGACTTCCACATAATGAGGTGTGTACCTGTGAATTCATACCGTTGAATCGACTGATTCAGAGGGAGAAAAACAACGACCACCAAATCTGAACCACTAAAACTGTTTGCTTGCTTGAATTTCTACATGCGTTACTGTGCAAAACATCCCTGAAAATAAGATTTAACCTCTTATTCTCCAGGGTATATTTTGATTTGTCCATCTGAATTCACATGACCAAATTGTAAGGCAAATTATTCAGTAACTGCATGAAATAAATGTACATTTTTATTTTATTTATTTATTTATTTTTCCCCTCAAATTAACAGCAAATGTGTTTTATGATCATACACATTTTGATATATGCCAAAAATAAGCCAAAAATCTTTTCGCTCTTTGTATTATTTCATAAAAATAAATTTTACACAGCAGATCACTGAAGAGACGCCATCTGTTTCTAGTTTATAGCCCAGATTTGTGGAAAAATGGGTCGACTTTCAGTAGACAAAAAAACTTGTGAGTTCAGCTTCTTCTATTATAAGGGTTTAAAATGACATCACCCATCTATTTGACTGGAAAGAAGACAGTTACAGCTCTCATACGACATTCACCTTTTGAGTGTAGCTTATGAAACATGAAAGTTATGAAGAATATGACGAAGTGCGTTTTGGAACCACCGGTGGTCTCAAGGAGTTGAAAAGGTTAAAAGCTATTATCTGGGCAGTAAGAGTTTAATTTGCTCAGAAAAACACAAATATTAGCATAAACACAAATAATATTAATACAATAACAATAACAACAACATTATTTTTATAGCGGTTTTTGCAACTAATGTTGTCTCAAAGCAGCTTTTACAGAAACGCAGTTTATTTCCAAACATTTCCTCGTGCCAGCCCAGTAGTATTTGTTGTCATTATTCAATACTTGGTTTAGCTAAATCACGTGCTGCTGATGGAATTTAACAAATCCATGCGATGGCTGGAGGCGTCCAGGAGGGATCTAGAACCAAACGTTGTTCCTCCTTTTATAAAACAAGAAATTGTTTTGTTTTACTAAATATATTGTTTGTTTGTGTTTATTCTAATGTTACAATGTGTTTTTAGAAGAAAATCAGGTAAATGGTTTTTAAACAGTTTGTTTAGATGCCTTTAGAACCTACGTGTCAAACACAAGGCCTGCAGGCCAAGTCAGATCCGTGACACAATCCTGTTAGGCCTGCAAAATTATTTTAATTTTCTATTAATATTAGCCAATTTCACCATGAACTGCACTACAGTCCCCAACATGCACTGCAACGTAATGTGTGCTCCCACCCCCTCACCAACAACGATCAATGGGACAGCACCACAAAAACAACAACAACAAAAAAATGATGCCATGTGTTTAGTTCAAGCGAATGGGCAGTTTTAAAACCTGCTGTACTTGGGGACATTTAAAGAGGTTTAACAGTGATCTGGAGCTAATGTAGTCTATTGTCCTACATAAAACAGTTTGTTTTTACTTAAAATTATTTTTGAATTGTTTAAGTATTCAGTGCATATTTTTGCCGTTGTAGTTTTGGCATATTTTGAATAAAAAAATGGCCAGTTGGGGTGATGGCAAAATGTTAAGGAAAAACAAAATAAAAACACAGCTGGACCATGGATTAGTTGAGTTTTAAACATGGCCCTGTTAGTCGTTGAGTTGGACACCCCTGCTTTAGAAGATGTCTGCGCAGAGCCACGTTTTCCATGAGCTCCCATTGAACTCTTACATGATTAGAAGCTTGTCGGTGCCGTTCGGTGAAACTCAGTTTTTTACTATCTCAGTCAGATTATAATAAAATTTGTTGCTCGCTTCTGAGCTGTTTATTGTCTTGCTTGTGTCTCAGTGCCCAGCTGAACAAGGGAACAGTCTAACATGCTGTTTACGGTGGTGCAGTTATTAAACCACAGGAGACACATTTACATTTGGCCAGTTGTAACCCACTGCTGTTTCTCAGCACGTTCCTGCGCAGAGTGGACAGGTGATTCCTAGAGTGCGTCTCCATGCATATGCCTGAATGAGTGCGTGTGAGAGACAGAGGCCTCTGATTGCTGTTATTAGGCGCAGGAGCTTTAATCGTTTTCTGCCTGTGGTGCTACAGCTCGTCGTAACAGAAGTGGGTCAGGAGGACAATCTCCTAAACACACTCTGACATTTTTACAGCACGTCAGTGGAGCAGGGAAAAGAGCATAGGGAAAGAGAAGGAAGATGCAGATGCACAAGGCTGAGAACGTGGAAGAACCTGACTAAGCTTCTTCAGTCATTCAGAGAGTTGACTCTGATCACCAGTTTTATCACCAGATTGCTTATGAATCCATTTATTTAAACAACTAATTTACACTTATCCACCTGTTCATCTTACAGCACTTACACTGAAGTTATAACAGTGTCTCAGCTTGGTCTCAGCTGGTTTACAGCGAGGCACCGTGCTTGCTCACCCAGAAGCAACATGTGGAAATAGACACGGCAAGAAAATTAAATGAACCTCCATGTAAATAAGCACTTTCGTCATGCTATTTAGTTAGCTGTGCTAGTTACCTGGACCTTTCTAGCTAATATTACCTACACTAGCTCCTCTCTTTCAGTCTCGACAACAACACAAAGTAAATTTAAGTTCTTATCTCACTATGAAGCTTTCAAATTAAGATGGTCTGCTTTAACCGTCAAACAGTGGATAAGCATGGCTGCTTACAGGCTGCTGTTGGGTTTGTGATGCTAATAAAGGTAGAACTGTGTCTCTGTCTCTTCAGGGTCAAACGCTGAGCGAAGCTGCTTGATAAGATTCGAGAAATTGTCTGGAGTGAAATGTGCAGAGCAAACTAACAGCTCTGAATTAAAGCTGTCTGGGATCCTGTAAAAGATGTGGGAGCTGAAGGTCCTATTCACCAGCTTGTTTTGTGAATTTTTAGTTCCAGTTGAAATGGTGCCTCAGTTACATTCTGGTGCCTGTACAACCCGAAGCGTTTAAGGTAGAACGGAACATTTGATTAAGCTGGCTAATAGGAAGCCAACTTCAGCCTTGTTTAAGGATGAACATCAGTCTGCCGACAGTTTGGTTTCTGGGAAGGGAGTGAAAAGTGCCGACATCTCTTCACAGCCTGGAACGCTACATTTCTGCACATAGTCGGCCGTTTCCATTGCTGTTGCTCCGTTGCCTTTGTTCCGTTCTTCACAATGCCTGCTGGGCTAGAACGTTGGCTTGTATGTGTACATTTTGGGGGTGTAAATATTAAGTCAAGACTGTTATGTAACAGTTTAGGAATTTGGAAAATGGCCTGTTTTACTGCCCCCCTTTGCAGTGTTTGAGGTTCACATATGTTAATTCTATGTACTAAACTCGCGTTATCCAGCTGTGCCAAAGCAAATACAGTTTTCCATTCTGTGGCACATTTAAGTGCTGTTTATCTGATGCGGACAGTTTTGGTGTCACCCGCTCTTCCAGGTGGTTGTTATGAGCCCCACTTTCTCTGTAGCCTTTATTTTTTTGAACTCCAATTTTGGAAACTCCCATTTGTTTACTTATTTTCCTTTGGCTTTATCTCATCTCTTCAGAATCATCTCCTGAAAATTAATAACTTGTACTTAACAGCTGTTTTGACTTGAAATTAAATGGACTCTGACTTCTGTGCAGTACTGTGTATATGGTGTGTAATAAATAATATAACTTCTGTTCATAGCCACAGGACGGGGGGTCGAGCAGGTGGACTGCAGGGGGATTATGATCCTGTGTGAATGACCGAATGACTCTGACGGGTCAGTTACCTCAGCTGTGGGATTTTAACGCTTGAGGTGGCTGTCCTGTCTGAACCATCACTCTTTTAGAGGCCTCATTAACACCCTCTCACTCTCACATGTGCACACCATATTAAACTGTGGAGCAGTGACTGAGGGGTATTTGGCTGTTGGGTCCGCAGGAAAGTATGTGTGTGTGGGCATAATTTGCTGAAAACTGAGGCATGAGATACACAGATTGGCAGGTTTAATTACCAAAGGAGCCGCCTTTGCTGGCATTACATTTGTTTTTGGAGGCCAATAAAGAATAAAATGTCTATAAATACAGTAAATTGGAAATAAACAGAAAAACACTTTGTTATATTAAAAGTTTGGGCGCTCCTGGTCAAATGACGTGTGTTTGTTGATGTGTTGGTAAAAATAAGTTGGCACATCCTCTACAGAGAACACACTTCTGCTGCACATTTTGATGCATAACTGCTATTTATTTTATTTAACATACTTTGGGGGCAAAAATGTGCCCTGTGCAAAAGATATGGCACAGTTTATACTTTTATTTTTTCTGATATGTTAGAGCAAATGTGGAGGATGTGTTCACTTATTTTCACTTAGAAAATCAGCACAACTTTTGCATATGACTGTGTGCGTTAGTCCTTATAACAAACAGCATGTGTAGTTAATTCTTTATAAGCATTGAAGCTTTAAATAAAGAGCAGCAATTCTCATAAGAAATGAGAGTAAAACAGATATTAAACAGCGTAAATCTGATCTATTATATAACCATCAGCAGTGGTCCTCTTGTCGTTTAAATGATATTAAAAAAAGGACAAAGAGAAGTTAGCGGTTTGATTAAGCGCGGCTGGCGAGGTCATGGCCGTTTTTATCCCCTTAAAGAAACAGGTGTTGTGGGTCAGAGTTCATCCACCGGTCAGACCAGATCAGACACACAGGACCATTACATTAAGTGATAAGCGTGAAATTCCTCACACACACACACACACACACACACACACCACACACACACACACACACACACGCGTGCGCGCACACACAGATGTATGTTAAAGCATAAACGACCAGCAGTCCCACCAGCTTTCCCCCCCGATTTACTATTTTAACTTGATGAGGTTGTGATTTAAATTTTTTATTTGGTGGTCTCATTTTTATCCCTGTTGAGCCAGACTGCATTCTTTTTCACCTTTTGAACGATTTAATCTGCTTCTGCTTTAATCTATATTTGTGTGTTTGTTTTATTTATATTATAGACTGAATAGAGCTACGACAAAGAGGCTGAATCTAACACTTATTAAATCATTTTAATGGTGATGAAAACGAGAGAGTAATTAAAAATGCTGTTCATTTTCTTTGCTTTTCTGCAAGCAAGTTTTTCTTTATTACCTTGTATTTTTTGTGTCTGGTACATTTCATTCAAAAGCTTAAAAAAAAAAGTAATTAAGCAGTGATTAAAAAACGCTTTTAATTTTCTTCGCTATCCTGCAAGTTCGTCATCTTTATTACCTTGTTCTTTTTATGTTTAGTACATTTCACTCAAAAGCATAAATAAAATGGAAAGTTGAAAAAACATCAATGGTTTTTGGTTTTTAGGCAGGCGTGTTTGAGTGAATCACGAGTCATTTCTGTGCTCACTAAGGAGTAAGTCATTAAAAATGTTGCAGTGTCATGCTTGTTACCCCAGAGCAAGTTTCCATAAATAGGTATATTAATAAATATGAATGACTGACTGAAATCAGTGATTTTGCTTGAAAATAATAATTAATTTTTTTTTTCCCTCAGATTGCTGCTCAGATCTGTCGTCAGGCTGGTTTGGTGCAGAAGTCGAAGGACGTCATGGATTACAGTTCTGACAACTTCGCCATCGTCTTTGCTGCTATGGGAGTGAGTGCTTACATCTATTCAGTTTGTCCTTCTGTTTGTCTGTGTAGAGCTTTTCAAATCTGCACTTTGACTCCATACTGGATAATAAGCTTTATGTAATAAACCTGAGAGTTTAAGGGGTTAATTGAGTTGTTTGTCTAACTGATTGGTCACTAATGAATACATTCCGATTGTAGATTTAGACTGAGGTGTTCATGTGCTCTCTCCACTTAACAATCTGATGAAAATCTCCGTTTACATGCACACTGGTCTTCCTCTGCAGACCAGTTTCTGCTCCCTCCATGTTGAACGATATTCACTTTGGCGCGATGCACATGATCAGAACGTACTCAAACTTTCAGATTGGTAATATAATCAGATACAGGTGTTTACACGGCTATTATTCTTCTATTTTAACAGATTATTAATGGGATTACCCACCTCGTTCAGTCAGATAGAAGCAGTATTCTCAATGGCATCAGTTGGACTGGTCTATTCTGAGGTGTTTACATGGCCGTATTCTATTCCGATTGAGCTGTTAGTGGGATTATTAAAGAATTGTCAGGCTGCATGTAAATGTGGCTACTGACCAAATCAGCATTCAGTGTGGATTTGAAGACCTCTGGCCTATGAGATGCTTTATTCCAGGGTCTCTGCAGTTTACTGGACTGCACACTGCACAGAGGATGGTCAAACAGTGCATTACAACACATAATAAGTGTTATTGTATTACAATACAATGAGTATACCACAGTGCACAACTAGGCTTAGAGGGAAAGTCCACCAATTTTCCAAAATGTTCAGCATAATTCAGTGGTGGAGATGTTAAGTCATTCAGAGTGGTGTGTTGTGAAATGGTTGATTGTAGAGACTCAGATTTCTTTACAGTGGTGGTGATAGGAACCAGGGGTCGCCATGATTACAACACAAATATAGACATTTTATTTACTATCCAAAACTACCAGTGAGCCTACACGTGTCTTCTGAGCTTTTATATGGAATCTTGAAAGAAATAGTAGTAAATCTAAAAAAACAAACAAAAAAAAACTGGTTTAAAACTATCCACTAATGTAAAAGTTTTGTATATAAATACATATATAAAATCATATCAGCACATATGGTTGTTTGGGTGCTCCCAGTCAGATTACGTTTTCTTTATTTTCTAAGGGAAAATAAGTGAACACATCCTCTACAGAGCACACTTCTGCACATTTTAATACACAATTACTGTTTATTTTCTGAATTTAAGATTTGAAACATACAGTCTAGCCTGTGCAAAAGCTTTAGTATTGTTATATTTCATGTTTTATTTTATTCAATTTGTTAAACTCATCAAATACATAGAAATCATGCACTAAAGATAGTGTGTTCTCTGTAGAGGATTTGTTGATTTTTATTTTCACCTAGAAGATCAACAAAACATCTAATTTGACCGAGGATGTGCAGATTCTCTCCTGAAGACCCGTCTTGGTGTGAGACTAGGCTTTGTCCATGTCTAGACACAGACAAAAAGCCCTTTGTGTCCATGTGACTTAATCCCCCCCATTAACCCCACCTAACCCTTCTGCTCCACCTTCTGTAACCCTGTTGTTACTGTGGCCTCAGTGGTCAGCGTTATGGGGGTCAGGTGTCGTGTTCATCCACACATTCAGACACTCAGGTGTGGAGGGCTTCCATTAACCTGACTCTGAGATGTCACTGACCTGGGCTTCTCCTGCTGTTGTCCACTGCACCCGGGTTGGTTTTGTGCTTAATACATTCTCCATTCACTCCCTGTAACACTATATCCTGATTTCATGCGCAGCCAGGCTTCAGCTTTAAACCTGCGTCTGAAAGGTGTGGGCTTTCCCCTGGCAGGAAATTACCTTTTGGAAGGGCTTATTTGAACAGCGTTCAGAAAATGGACAGAATCTCTCCGTTTCCAATACTGTGAAATACCTTGACTGTGTACTACATGCATTTTTTGTGGTGGGGTACGGTAATGTAATTGTTAGCAGAGTGATTGTGGTTCCATCCCAATTCATCATGTCTGTAACTTTTTACGAACTGTGCGCTGTAAAAGCTGTAAAAAGAACCTCAGGTTATATCAAACCCATGCAAATACATTTTTGCTTTTATTCTCTGTGGCCCAAATCCAGCAAATAGGTGTTGGCCTAGTGCAGGGGTCAGAATCAGTTTTTTTTAGGTAAAAAATAAAAGATCTGCTGCTTTGTGGTAACATAAAGATCTGATCATTCTAACACAGTTTTAACAATACATTTTCTTCAACGCTGAAGATAAAGTAGGTTATGACTTCTTATTCACCCTTTAACCCTGTTTGTGCGCAGACTGCTGGCCACTTTGGCAATGCAGACAACAATCTCGCCTAGCCGTTAGCTAACAAAACGGCAAAAAGAAAGATTTAAGACGAACATCAATAATTTTGAGATGAACAGACTTATTTGCATTTATAATCACTCCAGCTGGTTTCCTGATACGTCTAATCTGCAACGAGAAACTGTCAAACGCTAAAAAAGTCACGAGGCTGAAGTCAGGTGCAGTAGTTACATTCTGGCGCTTTAGGCACTATTTAAGGTGGAGCGGGAAAATTGAAGCTGCTGAATAAACTATTCCTACTGTTGCGGAAAAGTTTCCTGCTGGAGATGTGAAAAAAGTGGCTGTAGCTGAGCTAAAGCCTAAAGCAGAGCAAAGTAAGTCTGTTTTTTCGTATGTATATTTTTTAGCCTATGTTAGTAGCACATATTTACAGCCAAGATGGTAAAATGGACATAAAGTGTTGTGGCCCCCAACACAATATATATATATATGGGCTGTAAAATAGGCTGTTTTTGCAGCTTACGGCCAAGGACTGTTTTTAGACAGTAAACAGCGTTTACGTTCTACATCAAGCACCTTTATTTCAAGAAGGTGCAGAAAATTCAGTTCTCCATGACATGGGCTCTTTAAATGAGCTGATATTTACACCTAAGGCACTTGCGTGATGTAGCTACAGATGTGATTGGACATGCGTGATGCTGATGTATGGCATCTGCTGTGAATTTGGGGTTAATCATTCTGAACAGTCCTTTTTCATGTGTAAGATGAAGATTTGCAGGTGGTTTATGATGTGACTCACTCTTATCAACTGTTCTCAGGTCAACATGGAGACTGCCCGTTTCTTCAAGTCAGATTTCGAGGAGAATGGATCCATGGACAACGTCTGTCTGTTCCTCAATCTGGCCAATGACCCCACGTGAGTCCTTGTTAGTTATTTGGTCTCTGATTCGAAGCACTGAGCTGTTGAATAAACTAGTATGCATGAAATGCCACACCTGAGAGGGTTTAAATACTCTGCACTGGACAATATCAGCCACTGTACTTACTGTACTGTCTCCGCAGTATTGAACGCATCATCACACCACGTCTGGCCCTGACCACAGCCGAGTATCTGGCCTATCAGTGTGAGAAGCACGTGCTGGTCATCCTGACGGACATGAGCTCCTACGCTGAGGCTCTGAGAGAGGTGAGGACCCCACAGTCTGGAAAAGTCGTCCCATAAGTACAGAGTGCCATTGTCATGCAACCTTCTGACTGATCATAATGCAGTGTTTCTGCATATAAGGTACTTCCATAATAAAATCATCCCAAACAGAATCCTCACAGATGGACAATTCCCATAACACAGCTAAACTGCTAAACTGCATCTCTTAAAATGCACAACTAAACTCAAGTACCCGACTAACAAGGATCACACAGACAACAGTGCAGCCCATACAAATAACAAATCAAAGAGCTAAATCCTGCTTAGTGTTGGATGTTGTAAATGTTTTGAGACTTCACTGTGAAAAATGATGTTTTGTCAAGTGATATTATTGCAAATCTAATCGAAATATCTGATATTTCTCGTTTTCAGGTTGTAAGCTTATTATAAAGTTACTCAGCTGATTTGTAGACACTTGTACTTGTTTTAAGTGATTTTAGTAAGTCAAACATCTCACTATATTGGCAGATCAGTCCTGTTATCTGCCAATATAGTGAGATAATTTGATTTGACTAAAAATCACGTAAAACAAGTAAAAATAAAAAAGTCTAATATAAACAGTCTTATACTAAGCTTACAACAATCTCAATATGAGAAATAGTAAATATATTGACTAGACTTGAGAGAATCTTTTTTTTACGATGCCATTTTTGCAGTGTTAAATGCAATGTTTTGTGCAACAATGTGCTGTGTAAAAGTGAAGTTGTAAGTACCATATATCGCCACAAGCTTATCCACATTTTGCTGTATATCGCTGCTGTCCAAAAAAAAAAGTATCTCCATTTTTGACGACTTTTATTCTTCTACATCATTTCAACACACCAGCTGTCCTTTACATCGTGTGAAAATTTCATGATGAGTGGACCAATAGAAATCCTCTAAAATCACTTGGAATAAAATCTCTTTACATTAACTTACATAGAAAGATAAGATTGTTTTTGTCTTCTCCTGTAAAGTTACTATTTTGGAGATACTTGTTTTCCTTTGGACAGCGACGATGTATAATTTAACAGCCATAGTTGTCTGACAGTTAACTTTGGCAATAGATTGTATCATCTCTGCTCTAACAGCAAGCTTAAAAATCTTGTTTGTTGAAAATGTGCGATAAAGCTACTGTGGAAAAACAGGTTTATTGGAGAAGGGAGAAATATAATATCCCGTGCTGAGATGGAGAGTCGGTCCGCATGCCTCTTCAAGGCCTTCTCCTTTCATTTCAATAAGAAGAATTATAGTATCCTGTGTTGCCAAAGTCTCCACATCCAACTCTGCTGGCTTTTTAGTCTGCCTCTGTGGCACGTGGCAGCATCTACGACCAAATGCAGCTTCAGGCAAACAAATTGCCCCTTTTTAAAAAGTGTCGCTGATGTCGAAATGCTCGAGTTTATATATTGTGAGTTGTGAATTGGGAAGAGTCCATGTAGATCTCCATTAAAAAAAAACGCCTTCATGGCATAGTGCTCCCTTAAAGCCGCCCTGGTGTAGAAGTGGCAGCAGAAAACAAATTCTTCCTGAAGCGCACCCTCACGAGACCTCTTTCCCTTTCAAAGTGCCCGAGCGAAATGGAGGTCATGCCACAGCTTGACTGCCATACACGAGCGTTTTCACTTAGTAATTGCCCCTGTCGAACAGCGACCTTGATAAATTCTATAACCATCAACTCTTTTACACATTTAGTTTTTCCCGAAGAGGGTCACACAATCATCTCCATAACTGTGGTCAACATGAACCGGACCGTAAATGGAGGTCTTCCTGACCATTTTCTCCCTCCACTCATTAGTGTTAAGGTCACGGATATAGAACCAAAAGGAGAGGCCATGCTGTCAAAGTATCCACTTCCTGTAACATGTGAAAGACATCCAGTAGGCAGTCTTAAATGAATAGCCTTAGAAATGTCCCCCTGACCTCATTATGGTCAATATAATGTGGAGACACGGGAAGGTCACCGTTTAGACAAATGGAAGATATTCCTTAATGTTCAGTTCCTCGCAGAGGTGAGAGTTTAAATTGGAAGTGTTTTTATTTGTTTGGTCTGGTTTTATTTGGCCATTTGGTTGTGGCCTGTGGCAAGACACCTCTATAAGGCCATAGACTTTTATTTTTGAAACTTGTGCAAAGCCAGCAATAGAACAATTTGCGTTTAAGAAAGCTGACGAAGGTTCAAAAGTGACTAAAAAAACTTTTGGAAGTCTTTCACAAGACATTCTGTACTTACACATTGATGTTATGCATAGATTATTCATTCGAGATGCCTGTTATTATATGTTTTGTTATTTGTTATTTATTATATGTTTTCATTTGATGTAGCGCTTCAATGTCAAAATACCAGCTTCTCTGTGATAAAATCGCAGTAACACACGGCCTAAAGTGGCTTATTGCTTTAATAAAACGGCGGCCAACATAAAATAAGATTAATTATTTTCTAAAAAATTGTGTATTTTATGTTATTATTAATAATAATCGATATAAACAAGTATTCCGCCAAGAAATGTAGTATGTCCTTTAGAGTATGGTATCGTTGCCAAGCGACATCACTGTATATTGCTGTCATTTCATTAATTTTTAAACTTTTTGTCATATAATAATGAACATATGATAACACAGCACTGTTTAACGCAACACTTTCACTTTATAAGTACTTTTTGATCACCGGAGCACCACCGTGAGTCTAATTTACCACCAAGCCAGCCGTCCCCCTCTTCTCTGCTGGGGTTGAATCTCAAAACGGCTCCCTGCTCTCTATATAGTGCACTACGTAGGAATTTAAATATTGGATCCTGCAGTCCAACAGTGCAAAATACAGCTAATAAATAGTCATTTGGGATTTAGACACATCCATACTGGGCAAATGATGCACTATTCGGCTGTAGAGGCTAGAGTTGCTAAAGTTTTATAGCTTTAGAGAGTACAGAACCGTTTGAGACTCAGCCTGGGTTTGACGCCACCACTGACTGAAACATGGACATTTGCAGCGTGTAAAACACTCAAAAGATATATTTTTTTAGACTTTCATACTGCTGTCTTACAGTGAATCATACCATAAGTGCTTTAATTCAACCCTGTGATGTTAATGATGGAGTTGTTTAGGCTGTTGGCTATGTTTTAGCCTGTTAGCTAGCTGACCAGCCTAGTTCTAGTTAAGAACATAAATTGCCAGCCCCTCAGTTTAAACAAAAAACAGGTTCTTACTTCATCAGTGCACTCGGTGGTCCATGTGAGCAGCATGAGGGTCAAAGATTATTCCATTAACAGCACAAGGATTTTTTTCGTGACGTGACATTCTTCACTTTGGACTCCTGTGGTGCCTGAATACCATTAGTCTTCCTTTTTTTAAAACTTGTATAATGGCAGAAACATAAAAAAAAAAGTTAGGGAAACATGTGGAGTAAGAACATCTGTTTGCTCTTGAACTAAACATACAAACTATTTCCTAAATGTATACAAAACTGTGTGCAAAAGCCAGAGACCACCCCTCATTCATTTAATTCCCAGTCAAAACAGCTATGAAGTACCAACTGTTCATTTTTCAAGTGAATATTTCTGAGGAGACTAGATATCAGATAATCCACTTTGCACAAAGAAGAAGGAAGTCTAAGGAAGACAACGCTGCTGTTGGAACAACAGTTTTTGGCCGACTTTGAAATTGCCTGTTGCTCTTTACATTGTGTGTGAATTTCATGATGAATGGAGCAAAAGAAACAGGCCACAATGACTTGGAAAAAGTCTGGTTCCATAGACTTACATTAAAAGTATGTTTTTTCCTTCTCCTGTAAAGTTACCATTTTGGAGATACAAGGTTTTGTTCCACCAACAGCAATGAGTGAAAAAACAGGAGTTTCCAAAAACTGGAGTTGGAGACAATGGGACTCCTAACAACCACCTGGGACACTTGGTAGTCCACTAAAATGGAAAGGATGTGCAGCAGTCAAGAGGACGTTACTGAGAAAAGGATAAAATAAGCTGAAAAGAATGTTGTGTATTGTTTGCCGGTGCAATTTTCTGTTTCTCCTGATGCTGAAAGATATAAACAACTTGGGCTTAATGGCTTTTAATACTTGAAGGCTGTGGTCTCTGACTTTTGCACCATACTGTATATTTTCAGTTATTGTTATAAGGATATTATTGAATGTATTTGAGTGTTTCATTACAAAAGCAAAAGCCCAGAATGGCATTATTTGACCCCATTTGAAAACAGCAGTAGAATGGACCAATAGAAGTGGCCCACATTAACAAACATAAGTTTGTTCTGTTTAAAACAGAATCTTTACATGCATAGTTGCCATTTTGCACGGTAGAAACTGTTATTGTTAGGCATTAATTATTCATTCTAGACACTTTGCTATACAAGTCTTCTGTTGCTAATTGTCAGCTTTAGTTTTAAACCATAAGCTCAGGCCCAGCTGGACGAGATGTCTTGATGTTGGGATCGGATTGCAATGAGTGTTTGTTTACAGCAGGAGAATGGAGGACGTCTGGCCATGACACACACTCAACAAGCAGCTCTTGACATTTGGAGCAGTTTTAGAGTGCTGGGCAGTTTTGGGGTCAGGTGTAGGGTTTCCTGCAAGGCTTTGTGTCTCCAGCACCCATAATAGAGGGATTTCGGAAACATCTGCCACTCCATAAACATACAATATCACATTTAGGCACAGAAGCACATGCCTCTTAGTCTGCTGAAGAGCCGTGACGATGACGAGCATTTATGAGGAACTAGAGAGGTCTAAACAGGCGCTCACAATTTCCTAGAGGAAGCAGAACAGCCATTAACCTGTATTTGGCAGCACGCACACACACACACACGGGTGGGGGGAGCACATAGAGTAAGAGATGGAGAATAAAGCATTCCTTCTGTCATATAAAGAATAAAGCATTCCTCAGCCTCATGGAAAATACCTTAACTTAATTTTTATTAGGTGCTCGGTCGAAGAGAAAAGCTCTTTTGATGAGACGTCTTCTGGCTTTTTCTTTGCAGTGTACCCCCTGTTTTTCTACATATATTGTGTGTATATATAAAATATTTTTCCCCTTTTTTGGGCGCCGCCGCATGTTTTGATGTATGAATGTGCCAAAGCGCACAATACACATTCCAAATAATTGAGATGCATGTGAAAGCACGACCTTCTGCACTGCGCGATTGTGACCTTGGTCCGTAATCGCTCACGTTAACACTTAACTTACTCTCTCTTTCTGTAAACGCGAAGGTTGAGCCTTCAGAAAGCTTACTGCGACCCCTCCTCTCCCTTTAACAAGGTGCAACAGTCACATCAGCATTGTCTTGAGTGTGAAGGTTTTTGCTTTACAAATTCCACAGATTTGAAAATGTTATCATTGTAGTCTTTACATTGATCATTTGAAGTGTTGCTGTGAGGAAAAAGGCCTCATTTTAGACCTCATTCATCACTTTGTAGGAATCTTCTGCAGGTGGTGCAATAGAAGTTCCGATCAGTGCAATAGAAGTTACCTAGCAATAGAAAATAAAATTGGACCAAAGATTGACCCCTGAGGAACCCCACATATGACTGTGGCTAATTGTCAAGGTTCAGACTTATTCAGTTATTTGTTTTATTTAGTAATGACGAGGCAAAGGCTAGATACTATTTCGTCCAGACATAGAGAGAAATAGTGTGGACTAACGACTTCATTTTAATTAATCAGTAGTCACATTAATGGAGCTCAAACTATTAAATAATATGAATGAGACAAGGTTGGAATTTAAATTATTTTCAAGTCATTTGTTTTAATCATTAAAAACAAGGCTACATACCTTTTTTATACTGACACAGAGAGAAATGGTCTGGACTTATGAATTCAGTTTCATCTGTGTAAGGTTGAATCTTATTAGACAGTTTGTTGTAATTATTAGAAACCGTGCAGTGGCCTTATGCCCTTCTATATAGATGTATGAAAAAGCAAAGGACTGTGGAAATGTTAACTTAAGTTGTCATCATAATCAACATAAATCAAAGTAAGTATGAATCAAAATATAAATGCAAACAAAGCCAAATAGTAATTTAGCAATAGGAAATACAGTTGGCCCAAGAATCGACCCCTGAGGAACGCCACATGTGATCTGAAAGTTGGAACTTAAATTATTTGTTTTAATGATTAGAAACAAGGCAAAAGCTATATACTCTTTTGTACAGCCGTACAGAGAAATGGTCTGGACTTATGACTTCTATTTTATTTGAGTAAGACAAGATTAAATCTTATTTGACAATGTATTGTAACCATTAGAAACCATGCAGTGGCCTTATGCCCTTTCATATAGACATATGAAAGAGCAAAGGACTGTGGAAATGTTAACTTCAGTTGTCATTATCATAATCAACATATATCAAAGTAAATATGAATCAAAATATAAATGCAAACAAAGCCAAATAGTAATTTAGCAATAGGAGATACAATTGGCCCAAGAATCGACCCCTGAGAAACACCACATGTGACTGGAACTTAAATCATTTGTTTTAATGATTAGAAACAAGGCAAAGGCTATATACTCTTTCATACAGCTGTACAGAGAAATGGTCTGGACTTATGACTTCTATTTTATTTGAGTAAGACGAGATTAAATCTTATTTGACAATGTATTGTAATTATTAAAAATCTTGCAGTGGCCTTACGCGCTTCCATTTAGACATATGAAAAAGCAAATGTAATAGCAATAGAAAATACAGTTGGCCCAAGAATGGACCCCTGAGGAATGCCACATGTGATCTGAAGGTTGGAACTTATATTATTTGTTTTAATGAATAGAAAGAAGGCAAAGGCTATACACTCTTTCGTACAGATGTAGAGGGAAAGGGTGAATCTAGTCGTTATCATGAGCATGGAAAAACAAAAAAATTGTGTAATTCTGTAATACTTAACAAGTTTAAGAGGGTTAATGAAGGCAGCAGTCTAACAGCGCTCAAGATCATTGGTTACCTTGCAATCATTTATAAAGGCTAGTCATAGTACACTATGAAAGTGCCTTGAATATGAAAGTAAGTTAAATGTTAATGCCTCTGGAGCACTTTCTGAGTGGATACAGACCAAACAAGCCAGCACGTGAAACACAGCATGTATTGATGGGCGAACATCTGCCAAGGTTAGCAGAAGGTCATGCTTTCACATGCATATAAACTAATCAGCAATGAGTGTTCAGCAGTCTTATTGAAATGTAAACGGTGTGTGCTACTGTGTGTTGGCTTTAATTTGATATGAAAGTGTTTTTCTTTCTCTCCTAGTTTTCCAGAGCATAACCTCATGGATTTAATGTTTTCAATTCAATGAAATGAATTAGCTGTGATTTACATATAACATACAGTGTCCTGTCAGTGTTAAAATAAATACTGAAATACATTTCCTTTATTCAGTATTACCATTTATATTTCATGAGCTAGCTATTCGCATTGGTCCCAAAAGTATTTGGACATTTGGGCCTTTGACATTTCCACCTCTATGCTTTTCAGAACGCTTAGTACAGGTTAAGTTCTTCTCCTGGCTTCTCTACATATTCTACCATCAGTCTGATTTTGAAGTGTTTTTCTTTGAAATAAAATATCATGTTAAACAGTTTTAGGAAGAAACCTAAAAAACCCAATGGTTACCAATGGTTAGTGTCCAAATACTTTTTAGGGCCACTGTATTCATTCAGTTAATACTAAACATATGTAAGTTGAAGGCTGTATGTTTGTACTATGCAGTTTTTTTATAATATCTATTTTTTTGTGCTTTTGATTAGGTTACAGTTATAACTGTAGTTAGGCTGGGGGTCGTGGATGTGATTAAGGTCCAGGGTCGGGTTGGGGTCATGTTAGGGTTAGGCTCAGAGAGAGAGAGTCACAGTAACATTTAGGTCAGCACTTACAGTTAAACTAATGTTGCCTATGCCTGTAGGTGTCCGCCGCTCGTGAGGAGGTGCCGGGTCGTCGTGGTTTTCCTGGTTACATGTACACGGATCTGGCCACCATCTACGAGAGAGCCGGGAGAGTGGAGGGCCGAAACGGATCAATCACGCAGATTCCCATCCTCACCATGCCGAATGACGGTATATGTGTACACACACACACAGGGCGAGATTTGAGTGATAAATGCACGGGGTTACCATCCCCCCAGACCAAAAAATATATATCATGTAGTAAAACTATTATAAAACTGCTGTCCCCTCTTACAAACCCCTTTGAATTAAAGTCTCTTTGAGTGATTATATTTGTAGTCAGTTTCAGTTGAGACTTCACAAAGGGTTCCAAAACAATTTATGCCGCTCAACACAACAGCGAAAGGAGCTCCACATACTACATACTACTCTATGTTGTGTCTGTTCCAAAAAATAAATAAATAAATACATTTATATTTATATATATATATATATATATATATATATATATATATATATATATATATATATATATATATATATATATATATTTATTTATTACAGGTTTACATGCACTCAATAGTACGATCACCATCAGTTTTCTGCAGTTATCTGATTATTTAAATGGTCATGTAAACGGCATTCTCTCATTTCTTAGTTCAGAGTATGATCGAGAAATCCGATAAAGAGAGCTGGATTTTAGCTCAGTAATCAGATTTCTCAGTGCATGTAAACTCTTACTCTGATTTCTTTTGGATTTCTTAGTCTGCACATGCGCGAAAGCAGACAGCGGTACTAGAAATAAGCAGGCAGTGTTTATGTTGCGTTATGTTTACGTCACGTCTTATTCTGTGAGTTTATTGGCTGGTTGTAAAGCAGCAATCCGGTTACTGTCTGACTCATGTAGATCCAGAGTTTCTCAATTATCTGATTACTAAAGTGCATGTAAAGTGTTGATAGGATTACTGACAAAATCTGATTTTCTTCAGTTATCAGATTAGTAAGTGCATGTAAACGCACTCAGTGATTTAGGTTTACTGGAGCTTTAAATTGATAGCTACTGAATCAAAACCAGTTATTTTTGTATGTAAAAGAAAATAAATAAGTGATAATACACACTTGTACAGCATCTTCCTAATGACAGAACTACACACAGTAGGGCTGCACAATTAATTATGTTTTACCGTTATCGTGATATCAGTTTCTGCAATAATCACATTCGATGCAATGACTGAACAGATCAAATTACCTCACGTGCAGCACCAGAGAGGCATCATATCATTATCGGCCCAAAGGCTTACAAATGCTTTTCTTCGCTGGAATTAAACCCTGCTGCTCTCCCACACGTGGACAAGGAACTTAACCATTAGGCTAAACAGCCAGTTACAAAACACACTTGCAGAGCTCAAACAGTCCAGCCTGAACTACATGCCTGTAACAACATCAAACATTAGGATTGTTCTCGCACCCAGTGTTGTGTTTTAGTTGTGCAGGCAGTAATGGCTTCTTTTATCAACAAACATACTTAATAACTAAACAGAAATCAATCCTGTGTGTCAATACAAGCAATAAATATATTGATTTGTTTGTGTAGCCCTTGTTAAAAAAGCTGTTGAGGTAATGCTTTGTTTCTCAGTTTTGACATAAGCAGCTGTTAATATTTCATTTTTTTTTATTTTGTTTTGCGATAGATTCACAATAGTGAAATGATGATTTTGTAATTTTGTATTTTGCAGATCTGATCTGTTTACACATCCAAAAAAAGTCTGTACTTCCAGTTAGGGGTCACATCCAGTTAGGGGCACACTATTTTAATAATGAGTTATCGCTTCTCGTATCGACATCCGACAGCTTTATCAAACATCACATTTTTGTCCATACAGTCCATCCGCGCACACACACACACACACACACACACTGTGCTGTGTGAAGTTACACACTCACCTGCTGAACACACAGTACTGAGAGAGAGAATCACCCGGCTTGCAGCTTCAGCACCACAATCCTGCAGACTGCACAGGTATTACTGGAGAGAGGGAGAGGGAGAGAGAGAGGTGGGAGTGATGCTTCTGTATTGATTCTCTGTTCAGAGCACAGAGAGATGAGCATTCTCCATTTCTTTGGTTACTATAGAAACATCCTTGTAAAAGACCAGTGTGTGTTTCTGAATGGGTCTGCCCCATTATAGCTGTATTAGGAAACTCTCTCTCTCTCGCTCTCTCTCTCTCGCTCTCTCTCTCTCGCTCTCTCTCTCTCTCTCTCGCTCTCTCTCTCTCTCGCTCTCTCTCTCTCGCTCTCTCTCTCACGTTTTCTTTTTCTTTCTGTTCTCTCTCTATCTCTCTCTCTCTCTCTTTATCTCCTTTTTTTTCCTTTCTCTCTCTCTCCCCACTCTTTCTGTCTAGCTCTCTCACTCTTTTTCCTTTCTCTTTTTTCTTCTCTTGCTTCCACTCTCATTCTTGCTTTTTTCTCTCTCTCTTTTGCCTGCTCTCTCTCCCTCTTTCTCTCTCATTCTTTCCTCTCTCTAGCTCCTTCTTTCTCTCTATCTCCTTTTTTTCTCTCTCCATGCTCTTTCTGTCTAGCTCTGTTGCTCCTATATTTTTCCTCTCTTCTTTTGCTCACTCTTTCTCTTTCCTTTTTTCTTCTCTTGTTCACACTTTCACTCTTTTTCCCTTTCATCTTTTTTCATCCTCTTCTCTCTCTTGCTTTTTCTCCTTTGCTTGCACTCTTTCCTTCTCTTCTTTTTTTTCCTTTCTCTCTCTCTCTTTCTCTCTAATTCTGTCTCCTTTTTTTCTCTCTCTCTGCTTTTTCTGTCCAGCTCTCTCACTCCTGTCTTTTTTCCTCTCTCCCCCTCTTTCTCTTTCCTTTTTCATTCTTTTGCTCACTGTTTCTCTCTTTCCTTTTTCTTCTCTTGGTCGTGCCTCTCTCTCTCTCTCTCTCTCTCTCTCTCGCTCTCTCTCTCTCTCTCTCATTCCCCCGTCATTCCCTTCATTTCTCCAGACTATCACCGCAGGCCGCTCCTTGTAGAAGAGCCTCCAGGATGGTTATTGTGGTTTAGTAAACAGTGTCTGTGGATCGATATGTTGTAAACGTGGATTGTAGGTGAAGCTTGTGTCGCCGTGTGCCTGTAAGCTCAGACTGCCCTGTAATTTCAGTCTGCGTTCGGGGGTTCAGTGGTGTTTACAGTAAAGACTTTGGGCGTTTAACAGCTGCTTTATCTTTTCTTGGTTTGTTGCTGTTCTTAACAGCTCCTTCCTTTCTTTTCCTTTGTAGATATCACTCATCCCATCCCTGATCTGACGGGTTACATCACAGAGGGTCAAGTTTACGTGGACAGGCAGCTGCATAACAGACAGGTGAGACGCTTCCCTTTACCTGCTTATGCAATAGCAGATGCGACACGGAGCTCACAACCAGTTATACTGTTTATACCTGAAGGGCCATGCCATGGAAAACTCAAATTTACTTGCTTTTTTTTTAATGTGTTTACGTTCTTTTCACTCCTCAGTCCATATACAGAAACTGAGCTCTTTTGATTCTGAATATCTGTGATGTCACAAGCACATTTCCATATGACTGCCTGAATGAGGCTTATTACAGAGCAGCCAATCAGAACAGAGGTAATTTACATATATCAACCTTAAAGGCCCAGTAACAAAAGCAGCCTGTTTAATTGTAGACAATAAGGAGAAGTTAAAAAAAGATCATGCAAAAATGGATTAGGACTGCTTTGCTACTTTTTTAAAAAAGATGGTTCTTCAAGAGTTCTTCAGTAAAGAAAGTGGTTCTAAATAGAACCATGAACATTCAAAGAACACTCTGCATGATTAAAGGGTTCTTTGCATGGTGAAATCGTTCTTCAGATTGATGGAGTATGTGCTGTAGATGGTTCTATATAGAACCTTTTTGAAAAGGGTTTAATAAAGCACCACAAAAGGTTCCACTATTGTTACCCCTTTTTTGGTACTATACTATATAGAACCCTTTTCACAAAGGTTCTATATAGAGCCATCTATAGCTCATGAAACTGTAAAGATTTCCAGAATATTTTCCTGTGATGTTTTATCCTCTGTTTATTTCCGTATTTAAAGATTTATCCCCCCATCAACGTGCTGCCCTCCCTGTCTCGTCTGATGAAGTCCGCCATCGGAGAGGGAATGACCCGCAAAGACCACGCAGACGTCTCTAACCAGCTGGTAAACCACAGACTGCTCACCCTGATCATGACGTGTTTATTATTGTTCATTTTCATTAATTAACGTTAATTAAGGTGTTGAAATGCATCAAGTATTATCATTCAACTACATCAATTTTGCAATATTATAGTCAGTCATAAGTGGAAGTAACAATATTTAATTAAGTGTGCCAAAAAATTTAAAACTGACAATTTTCAAACACAAAAATCCAAAGGAAAAACAAGCTTACTGTATAGTTTTTAATGTCTATAATCAAATATTTTGTGTAAAAGTTCCTCACATTTGTCACATTGGTGCCTGTTCACTGTATGGCCCAATCCTGTTTCTTTTTGCTTGACCTCTACCCCTTGTTTTCAAGTGTTGTCTTGCTCCTTGGAACAGAGTTACATAGGGTAGTGGTTGAAATCTTCCTCTATGAAATGGGACCCTCAAATAAAAAGAACATTACTTCATTAACAGCTACTAGCGCTGCACTGTAGGTGACCCTGCCAGTCTAAAGTCAGATATTCGCCAGCTTCTTGTTCTAATTTTCCTGTTCCACCTTAAACGGAGCAGCAGTTACATTCGGGCACATTCTGGAACAGGTAATTTAGCTAGCTAGCTACCGAGACATTAGATAATACAATGATTATTGTAATTTTAACAGAGAAAGTTCTCACATTTGTGAGTTTCTTTGGTCATTTGTGCTCCATGTTGCTGGTTTTCTTTTTTCCCATAACACTCTGTTTGGAGCGTATCTCTGACAAACCTCCGTTTGGAGGGCCATGTAGCCCTAACACTTCGCCCTACCCCTCTATCTCAACAAGAATCAGGACACCCTACTGCTAGACATGCACAAACAAAACGGAAGGTAGGGCTAAGTGGTAGAGGCGAGGGGTAAAATGGGGCTTGGGCCTACATTTAACTCTGAAACGTAATTGAATGGAAATGAATTAGTGTGAGGTCACATCTCTACTCTCCATACAGGTGAACAGTTTGGACTGTATTAATGAGGTGCTATATTCTCTCTCTCTCTCTCTCTCGTCTCTCTCTCTCTCTCTCTCTCTCTCAGTATGCTTGCTACGCTATCGGTAAAGACGTGCAGGCGATGAAAGCCGTGGTGGGTGAAGAAGCTTTGACCTCTGATGACCTTCTGTATCTGGAGTTCCTGCAGAAGTTTGAGAAGAACTTTATTGCCCAAGGTACAAAAACACAACTTAACCCTCCTATTTTCCACCCAGTTTAGTTGTAGGCTGCAAGTTAGCTCTCCCTCTGTCACACAATGCTGCCAAGCTGGGATGATGAAGGCTAACATGAGCTTCTTCCAGGACACAGGAAGCTCCACCACATCTTTTCAAACTGCTGCTAACAGCAATGTCATTGAACAGCTCAAACAAGCTTGGAGAAGATAGTTAACTACAGCTCCTGCAGTTGTAAACAGTCTCAGTATGTGCTAAAGTACTTGTATCGGCTAAAAATATAATATAAATGAAAATGCAGACTTACTTTGCTCTGCTTTAAGCTTAAGCTCTGCTTTTCTCGCATCTCTGGCAGGAAACTTAGAAAAGTTTCTAATAAAATCCACTATTTAAGGTGGATCGGGGAAAATACGAACAAGAAGCTGGCGAATGAGAAACTGACTTCAGCTTCGTGACTTTTTAGTGTTTGACAGTTTCTCGTTGCAGATTAAACGTATCAGGACACCAGCTGATTATGAACACAAATAAGTCCATTCGTCTCCAAATTATCGGCTGTTTGTCTTAAATCTTTCTGTGCGCCAACCTTCTGGGTTAAAGGGTGAATTAGCAGTTCTACATTAGCTCCGGCGTTTAAGACCATTTATTATTAAAACAGTGTTAGAACGGTCAGCAGAGCTTTATTTTACTGTAAAGGAGGATTATTTTATTTTTACCTACACGTCTAATTCTGCTGTGGAGCTGCAACAGGGCAGTAAAAGAGCCGCATGTCGCCGAACGCTGGGTTAGGTTTAGAATTTAAAACAAAGTAGCACCAACACTGAGAAACGCTCGATCCCCATAATTCCGCAAGTACCAATGTGTGTAAACACAAGAGCCGGCTTTTGAAGTGTATGTTGGCTGTTTCGCTGAGTGCAGTCAGAGCCTTTTCTTTTCTCTATATATCCACTTTACCTCCTCACTGATCACCACGTTTCATATTGATCACAGTTTGAATTGTTGGTGGAAATTCTCCATCGGCCTTTGTGCAGCTTCACAATAGCTGCATTTCTGCCGTCAGTTTAGATAACAGGAACTGTTTAAGTCCCACCAGTAAGAGAACAGTGTGGACTGAAGAGTCTTAACATACTTTTCTGTTTGTTTCTTTCTTTTCTTGTTGTGGTGTTTTTTTCTCCTGAAGTGTTTTACTGCTGGAGCTGTAGTTTGGGATTTAACATATGAGGGTTAAGATAACAGGAACTGTTTAAGTCCGGGTGAGGGTTAGGATTGGGATTTGGGTTTTGGGTTGAGATTAAGGTTGGGGTTAAGATTAGGGCCACAGTGTGGGTTAGGATTAGGTTTTGGGTTGAAGTTATGGTTACGGTTAGGATTAGGGCCAGACTGAGGGTTGGGATTAGGTTTTGGGTTGAGGTTAAATTAGGGTTAGGATTAGGTTTTGGGTTGAGGTTAAGGTTAGGGTTAGGATTAGGTTTTGGGTTGAGGTTAAGGTTAGGGTTAGGATTAGGGCCAGGGTAAGGGTGAGTCTTATGTTTTGGGTTGAGGTTGGTAAGGTTAGGTGTTGTGTAATAGAAGTAACATGTTAACAGGACTACTTAATGTAAGTAATGTAGCAACAGAACATCTACAAGATATTTACTTCAGTGCATTCAGATACTTCACTACTGCTACTTCATTGATATGTTGTTGGTGTTACTGATAATCTGTTAAGAGTTTATAATCATCTACAAAGGACCACTCCAGATAAAGCGTTACCTTTAATGTTAATATTAATCAAACGCCCCATTTCAAGTAATAGTATTCAAATATTCTAACAGGAAAGTCATTTATATTGTTAGCAGCAAAAAACAAGTGTTTTAGGTTGATTTACTGATTTTGTTTTTGAGTTTTCAGCTGATTTAGCGACTGATCTTTGCGCTTTAGGTTGATGTAGTGATTTATGTTTGTGTTCTTTATTGTTTATTTCATATGAAATAATGGCACATGCTTTATTCAAATACCTGATAAAGTAAACAAATATTAAAGTGAATTCTTTTGCACCATATGCGCTGTGGAGGATTTTCTATCTAATAGTTCATTGCAGCTGTGGCCTAACTAACAAGTGCACAACGGCCTTCAACTACATTATTGTCTTCTTTTGTGTGTGCGTGTGACAGACGGTCTCCGCTGCATGTTTGCCCATGTCCGCTCTCTTTCCAGTGATATTGTATTGCCGAGGGAACAAAGGAATAGAGGAATATTTATGTAGACTTTATCGGCACGGGCCGATTCATCCCAGTTCTCCGGAAACTTTTCGGTGGCCTTCAGTCCTGTGTGAGTTTATGAAGCTGAGCCTCTCCTTTCACAGAGATCTCTATTGGAGGTGAAGCTATTACCTCTACACAAATAATATGAGGAACATAGTTCACTTCCACATTACAACCTCAGTGCAGGAGAGGAAAGAAAATGTGGAACTTTTTCAGAGCATCCCGAAGGCCTTTTCTCACCTGGGAATAAAATAGGGCTGTAGAGCCGATCACCCTGTTCAAACAGCAGGGCCAGCTTAACCCTTAGATGTCTAGGGAAATGTCAGTTTGTAGTACTTTTTAAGTGCTTTTACATAATTAATTGTACAGTGATGACAGGATGAATTACATTTACAGTTGATTTCCATTCTGTGTCCATTTTTTTGTTTGCTTTAATAATGATTATAAACAAAAACTTCTCAAGTTCAAATCATAACAAAACATGTCCAAAACTATGGATTAAAAGAATAGAATCTGCTCTTTCAATACTGTTTCTCTGCTTGTTTCTGTGAGCAATGCATCCAAAATATTTATAAATAAAATGTAGAGATGGCACAATACCACTTTTTTCTGATACTGATATTAAAACGTGTCACTGATACCGTTATTTCTTCACTAAAACTACTTGGCTTTTTTTCTCCAAAGAACTCAAGACAAGTCTTAATTCTGCTCCATAACTCAGCTTTGCTGAATAACAAAAACAAAAGAAAACTGGCGTTCAGGCTCAGACTAGCGCTCGGCTCTCTAACGCCGAAAGATCTGCCTCCAACAGTGACCAGTCTAAATTTTAGGACAGCTAGATGACCTGGGTCGGAGGACCTAAGTATTCGGGCAGGGCAGTGAGGGTGCAGGAGCTTGGCTAGAAGATGTAGAGATTTGTCAGTTAGCAGGAGGACTTTAAACCGGATATGAAGCGGGACAGGTAACCAGTGTAACTGACACAGAATTGGAGTGATATGAGCTGATTTTTTTAGATTAGGTTTAAAGCTAGTCCATGTTCATGATTATCCCAAAAATTAAAGATGCACTATGTAAGTTTTGGGGATTTGGAGACCTCTCTGGTGAAAATGTGTAATTGCAGACAACGTGCGGGAGAGCATTATGTAACGTGAGTTGTGCTTCAGTCCCCTTCCCCGAGCGGATGAATCTGATCATTGAAAGAGAAGATAATGTAGATTTTGCGTTTGAGACATAAACATCAAGCCGGGCCTTCATTTTGCACCTGTGCGGATGTTATTACGTAAAGATGTGTGACGTGGTGTGAAAAATGACCCGATTTTTCTGACTTTGTGCTACTTCTTTCAATTTTTAAGAAAGAAATCTTACATAATGCAGCTCTAAGAAGGCCCTGAACTTACTGGAAATTGGTTAAAAAAGCCCATCCCCCACTAGCAACCTGTTAACATTAGGCTCAGTGGTTACTGTTATCATGTTACCTACTTTTCTTTAAGTTTTGTGGCGCACTTCTGTGACATTTACAGAAAGAGAGCCGAAAAAAAACTAAAAGCAAGTTATTTTGTTACTGAGCCTGAGTCATTGTAAAGATTAACTCTGTAACGTTAATACTGCCCTCTGTGCGTCTCCTCCAGGTCCCTATGATAACAGGACGGTGTTTGAAACTCTGGACATTGGCTGGCAGCTGCTGCGTATCTTCCCTAAAGAAATGCTGAAGAGAATCCCTCAGAGCACGCTGGCCGAGTTTTACCCGAGAGAGTCCGCCGCGCGCCACGGAACCTCCTAACCCCCGAGCTCAAAGGGCAGAGGTCATGTGATCTGCACGCCCCCTCACCTGTCTCACCTCTGGCACCTGCGTCCACCTCCACCCAGAGAACAAAGTACTGTAATGCTTTAGATATGGGGGCCTAATTCAGGACTTTATAAAGCATTAACCTCTTAAACTGCAGCTTAATCTGAACACCTTGTAAATTATTCAGGACTTTGCAGTATAAAGGGTTAATAAAGCGCACGCTATATGGTGATGAAGCATTTTTATTAAAGTCCTTGTATTTCGCCCCTTTAAATAAAGCGTTAAACAAAGTTGAAAAGTTGTGTACCCTCCGTAGACTTGCCGTGTGTATCAGGATGTGTTTGTGTGGGTCGAATACATAACTGTGATTAGCCTACTGTAGTCCCTGTCTGTTTTTGTTTTGATTTTATTGTTTGTTGGTACTTTTCCACATGTAAACACACCTTTAAATCAATAGAAGATGCAAATGCTGGACCTTTTTCCCCTTTCTTGAGTCTAAATGTCCCAAATCATTTGAGCTGAAAGGGAACAACGTGTTTGTCATAGACCTCTGTAGTCATCGTCACGGCCATATAAGGAGCTCCAAGGCTAAGCCGTTCATCTCTATGGGGATGTTTTTGAAAATAGTTGCTGTAGCAATAAACGCTCTACAGCTTTTGTCCTATACATTTTCCCCCAAATGTTGTTGGATCTTTCGAGTTAAGAGGTTGTTTAGCAGTCAAATTATGAGTAATGCCACATGCATGCTACAAGCTAGCACTCACCAGCTAGCACTCACCAGCTAGCACCAGAGATCTTGGAGAATTTTCACTCTCTAATGTCTTCCGGGTTTCTCGAACGCTAGAGGGCACTCCCGAGTGAGTCCAAAATGAACAGGTTAAGATGGAGCATTCGAGTAAGATTAGTTTAGAAAGATTTAAACATATTTAGTTTAAAAGAATACATTCATTTGCTGAACTCAAAACAGGATAAAACATTTTAACACCGCTGTTATATTTTTACGTTATAGGAGTTTAAAACGGCGCCTCATGTAGGTTGGTGACATCGGTGAGCACGAACAGCCAATGAGCTGCTCCGCTTGCCAACCAATCAGCACTCAGTAGCAGTAATGCAAGCGTTTTCCTGCCCAAAACCCGTTTGCTGTAGAAAAAAAGAAACATGTTTCAGCTCCTTAATGACCTCATAATTCAGAGGATTCAGCGAAACATGGGGGAAAAACTCCTCAACTGACGGCAAAACATTTTTGTTTGGAGCATTTTGTTCACCATGGGGTGTGAAAAAACTTTCATTTTTCCCCATAGAGAAAGCTGACTTAGACCTGGAGCTGCTTATATGGGCATGTTCTTTCTCCTTGAGTCATGAATAAGATCTCATCTCTTGTCTGTTTTAGGATATCACCAGTCATTAAAACCTCATCACTCATTTTCATCCATCTTCATCATCTAAACCGCTTATCCTTCTGGGTCGCGGTGATCACTCGTTTTCATTTTTTTAAAATGCAATTTGAAAACACCAGCTGCCCTTTACATTGTGTAAACATTTCATGATGAATGGACCAAAAGAAATGGTCCAGAATTACTACTAATCATATCTCCGTACATTAAAAGTCCTGTCAAGTTACCATTTTGGAGATATGAGGTTTTATGACTGCAACAAAAATATTTATTTACTGTCAACATTCCTGCAAGCAGTCTGTGTTTGTTGTTTCACGTGAGCAGAAAGGTGATGCAGTTGATGAAAATGATTTATGTATTTTAATTTTGGCATATTTCATCCCCAGATACAGTGGATTTAAGACCACATAAAGCATTATTTATGATTATTATTGACTGACTGATGATCTAAAGTGTTTGTAAACAGACATTCTCAGTTCCAGTTTAGACATATTTTGGTTCTCCCTGCTCTGTTAGAACATGGAGAATATAGAAAACATGCAGTGCATATAGAGAACAGCACAGATCTAATCATCCCAAGTCCATCAGTACATTCCCATTTGGCTGCAAGCTGTTCGTTAAATGAACATAGAAGATGTTTACAATTTTGTGTTTTTGGAGTGTGACGTGTGCTGTGATCTCCAAAATATTGAGCATCCCCCTTCTTCCTTTGTCATGGTCACATCTTTATTGTATACACAAAGTCTATTTCTGTGTTGATTTACAAATGAATTAAATTATATTATTCTCCTGATGCTGAGGCTGTTTGTTTATTTGCTTGGAAGAAACTTCCACTGATGTTTCCATATTCCTGCATAATTTAGAGTGACTCAGAGTAGTTTGGTGTGAAATGCTCTGTTATAGATCTACAGAATCTGCATTGTTCACAGTGGTGGTGATAGGAACCAGACATCCACCTCTAAAAGCTCCAACACGTGAAGTTACAAGAAATGGTTATGAATACATTGCCTGATGTCTGAGACACTGTTTTACAATAGTTTTGTGGTAAAGGTTTGGGCCTAAAGCTATTCATGGTGGAGGGATACATGCAGGGTGTTGTGAGGCAAAACAGTCCCCAAAGAAAACCTATTTATCAAGATATATAACTGTTATCAACAACACCATATACAAATATCAGAAGAACACGCATTATCGTTATTTATACAGTATGTCACCTGCAGGGCTCCGTACTTTGCAGCTAATTCTGCAGAAACAATAAACAGTGCTGGCTGAAGGCCAAAATCTTATATCGAAACAATCATAAAACAATGTCTCAGACATCAGGCAGCGTATTCATAATCCATTTCATGTAATAACTTTTTGTGAGGGAGCTTTTAGAGGTGGATGTCTGGTTCCTATCACCACCACTGTGAACAATTCTGACTCTACAAGTTTCTCTAAAACGGAGCATTTCACACCAAACCCCTCTGAATGACTCTGTTTACATCTCAACCATCTAATTATGTAGATATTTTGAAAAATCAGTGGAGTTCCCCTTTAACCCCCACTTTAAGTAATGAAAGCCTCTTAGCATAGTGCTAACTGCAGGCCTAAATCATTATTTCCCTGTGTAGTTGTTATGTGATTTCTAATAGACTTATTTATATTCACACCAAACCACTCTGAACGACTTTGTTTACATTTTAACCATTTAAATATACGGATATTTTGAAAAACCGGTGGAGTTTCACTACAACTTTTCAAGGGGGGGGATTAGGCCCATCCAACCAGCATGTGAAGGCAGCATTAATCCAGATTATCAGCTGAATCAGGTGTGTTGGATTAGGCTTGAATTAAACCCACAGTGGGGCAGATTAGCAGGGCTGGTAAATATCGATTTAGTGTGAAACCGCCATACCGGTACCCCGATTAATCGTCAGACGCGCGCCCAAGTGTCACTTCCTGTTGCTCTCACGGTAAAGCAGGTAAAGAAGGTAAAGCTGGTAACTTTCTCCTCAATGGCGGCTGAAGAAGAGAAGCAAATGAGGACTATAAACGAGCTCTCGGATCAAGGTAAGCTGCCTAAGGAGGCTTGAATTTTGGTTGTGCGAATCTGAGATTTGTTTTGAGCGGGTTTGTCCGCCACAGGTATGTTACGCTACATGTCCATATATGGGGGCAAATGTCTGTGTGGGGGGACTTTCAGCAGAGGCTAGTAAACTTTCCTGCGTTTAGCACGGCTAGACAGGCTAATTCTGTGAGGAAAGTGATCTGCTTTTTCCTCCGTTTCATTTTAGTCATTCATATTTCGGCTCCTAATTCCTTTTTTTGTTTAATTTCGTTATGTTGTGTTGGTATTCATGTTCGAATTTTCCGTTCCACCTTAAATGGTGCAGCAGCTGCATTCTGGCGCCTCAGAATGTAACTGTTTCAGTTCCATTTAAGGTGGAACGGAAAATTCTCTTATGAAAGCACTTCATGGAGCTTTAGCATTTTATTTTGTGGCCCAAAAAGAGAAGAATTGAGCCTTACAAACTCAACCCCAGCCCTATAGGGCAACTCAGTAGGCTTATCCATAAGTTTTTGGACATAGTATCTTTTTTTGGCTGCTTTCAAGTACTTTTATTTCCACATGAGCCTTCATTTCACTGAAGGACCATCATTTGTACTGGAGGATGCATCTAAGCTCCTTTTCTGCACGTTTAAGTCAGTCAGTTCTAGAAATTATATGTTTATGTATATATAATTTGGACCACCTTGATTGACAGGACTATAAGGCGTTGCCCTGTTGCTGGTCTGGACTTTGCTCCCTTCAGCCCCAGCACAGACTCATAGGGGTCATCACAGGTCAGCGCAGGCCAGACTTCATTGTCATTCCTTCATACCGCAGCAATGTTGACTGAGGAACGAAGTATTTTCCGTCATGAAACAAGTGGAGGAGGTTCACGAGAACATTAGTCACAACTACAAACAGTAGAGTACACTCTTAAAAATGGTTCTTCAAGGGTCCTTAAAGTTAACGGTTGTGTAGAACCACGAGTTCTTTGTAGAACCAATTCATGGTTAAATGGTTTTCTACATGGTGAAATAGTTGTTCAGATTGATAGAGAATTCTGTTTAGAACCTTTTTGAAAATGGTTCTATATAGCGTCAAAAAAGGGTTCTTCTATTGTTCTATTGCAATTGTTCTATTGCTCTTCTACACAGTAGTCTCTTATTATAATAATAGAAGAGCCCTTTTTGCTGCTACATAGAACCATATACAGCACGAACCATTTCACCATGCAAAGATCCATTTAAGCATGAAATGGTTCTAAAAAGAACCATTGCCTTTACTAAGGAATCTGTGCACAATAAACTGTAAGTATTGAAGTATGAAAATCACTTCCAGAACCGCAGTGGAACTATAGTAGAGCATCTGGCACCATAAGAACCGACTCTGTTCTTCTCTTCTTGAGTCCTTTGGTTTAAAGTGAAACGATAAACCACAGGTGAGACCAGTTACAGAGCAGAACAGATGCTGAACTAACACAACATTATGCAGTTTAACACAAAAAAAGGAATTAGAAACTAAAGGTTGATGACAAAATGAAACAGAATAAAACATTGGTGACATTACTAACTAATGTACTGGAGTAGAAGTAAAAGTATTAACATTTGTAAACTAATTTGTATTTTCCTGAGTATTTTTCAAATCACAATATTTTCACTTCAAGCAGAAAACAGATAAAACAGAATTGTTTTTATCATAATAATAGCTTTGTCATGTTGTGATCTTAAGACTTTTTATCGAATTACTCAGTAACTATTATAACGACTATTCAGTAACAATGTATTCAGTATCTGCTATGAATTATTCAGTATCTACTATAAATGATTCAGTATCTACTATGAATTATTCAGTATCTACTATAAATTATTAAGTAATCACTATTAATTATTTGGTACGTAATACGAATTATTCACTATCTACTGTGAATTATTCAGTATCTACTATGAACTATTCAGTATCAACTATCAACTAGTATGTACTATGAATTATTCAGTATCTACTATTCAGTATCTCCTATTAATTATTCAATATCTACTATGAATTATGCAGGAAGTACTGTAAATTATTAGTATCTTCTATGAATTATTCAGTATCAACTATTAATTATTCAATATCTACTATAAATTATTCAGTATCTCCTATGAATTATTCAGTATCAACCATTAATTATTCAGTATCTACTATGAATTATGTAGTAACTACTATGAATTATTCAGTATCAACTATTAATTATTCAGTATCTACTATGAATTATTCAGTATCTACTATGAATTATTTAGTATCTACTATTAATTATTTAGTATCTACTATGAATTATGCAGGAAGTACTGTAAATTATTCAGTGCCTACTGTGAATTATGCAGGAACTACTATGAATTATTCAGTATCTACTATAAATTATTCAGTATCAACTATTAATTATTCAGTATCTACTATGAATTGTGCAGGAACTACTATAAATTATTGAGGATATACTATTAAACTAATAAGTAAATTATGTGGTTTTGAGAGTGAAGAACTCTCAGGTTCAAGTTGAGTGAGGTGTAGACTTATGGCTTGTGTTCTGAACATGGATTAATTTTAGTCTTGGACTAAATTACAGTGGCAATTGTGAGTCACCTTCCATTTCAAGTAATGCTTAGGCTTATTTTGGGTGTGGCAAACTAGTACTGAGATGTTAAGGGGTCCAAGCTGCACACTATGGACACTTCTAAAAAGGTGTGTCCCTCTGTTGAGTCTGCTAAAGCTCATTAAAACTAGATGTGCTCTATTTGAATTATACATTAATTTATGGCCAGGTTGATGTGCACTATTTTTTCAGGGAAAAAAGGAAGTTCAGTATTAGACTCATGGTTTGTCTTTCTGTGGAAGCTGATGAGTCTGATGTTACTCACCCAACTCATGCTAGTTCCACAGATGGACTTTCTGTGGTCAAACCTGAACCAAACAGGACTCACAGCTTCCCCCTGTGGTGCTCCAACCGTTTACAGTTTTGGAAAGAAAGTATTCATAGAGCTGAAGTGATTAGCATTTCCTATCACACGACTAAGCTGCTCAGTAATGAGGCCAATGGTGGGCTGTTAAAATTTCCCCGTGAGTTTTTAGCTGAAGTTTCAGCCATAAGTGATGCAGCTGTAGGTGTAGACTGTGTTCAGTGGTGGTGGTCAGTTGTGAATCATGGCTTACTGGACCCCCTGTTTCTCCACAGCGATCCGACAGTACGAGAGCCTTCGGAAAGAGCATGAGAAAACCAAGATGGAGGTGAGTGTGGCTGGTTGTTTAATCACTGTTACAAACACAACAGTGAAAATAACTTTAATTCAGAGTTGTAGTTGTAGTACAGATGGAACAACAGTTCAGAGTAAATAGCAGTCTAAATAAATACGGTACAGTGCATGTAAGTAGTTGTAGTTATAAGTAGTACAGTGCCAAAAACTGTCCAAAGAACCTTTTAAAAAGGGTTCTATGTGGCACCAATCCTTTTTGTATGCTATATAGAACCTTTTTTGCATAGTATATACAATGTGAATAACAGTTTAACTGTAGTACAGTGTATATTACCAATGTAAATAGCTGTAAATCACATGCACAATGTAATTAAGGTGAAATAGCTATTGTGCAGTGTCAGTCTAAATAACTGTAGTTTAGATTTAGATGTAAATTACAGTCTAATTGTAATATAGGGTCTGTATAGGGTCTAAATAACCATATTTTTGTAACAGTCTAATTAACTGTACTACAGTATAAATAACAGCTTTATTAACCACAGTACAATATAAATATTGTAGTATAAAGTGCTGTAATACAGTGTAATTATCAGTCTGAATAACTACATAATACACAAGTACAGTCTAATTAACTGTAGAAAGGTGTAAAAAACAATGTAAATAGATTGTAAAACAATGTACCGTCTAAATAACCGCAGTGTAGTATAAATAACTGTCTAACTGTAATATAGAGTGAATTAGAATCTAGTTAACTGTAGTATAATGCAAATTACACTTTAATTAACTGTAGTACAGTATAAATAACAGCCTTATTAACCACAGTACAATGTAAATATAGTATAAATTGCTGTAATATAGTGTAAATAGCGTAAATTTTGGTCTGAATAACTACATTATTACACAAATACAGCAGGAGTAACGGTCTAATTAACTGTAGTACAGTGTAAATAATAATAAATAAAGAAAATAGATTGCAAAGCAATGTACAACCTAAATAACTGTAGTTTAGTATAAATAACAGTCTGTCTACGTAAGTGTAGTTTAGTGTATATAAAAGTCTAACTGTAATATAGAGTGAACAGGAATCAAGTTAACTGTAGTATAATGCAAATAACAGTCAAATTAACTGCAATGCAGTATAAATGTCTGTCTAAATAGCTGATTTACATTGTAAACAACAGTCTAAACAACGGTGGTGCAACTTCTGTAGTCTCAGTAACATTTTAACAGTAATACAATGCAGTTAAACTACAAACAGATTAAACATATTTAATAGTTCTTGTAGTGTAAACAACAGTCTAAATTACCCCAGTACAGTGTATATCTAAATAACTGTAGTTTGGTATGAACAACAGTCTACAGAACTGTGGTACAATGTGAATAACAGTCACGCTAAGTGTAGTTTAGTGTAAATAACAGTCTGATGAACTAGTACAATGTAAATAACAGTCAAATTAAGTGTAGTTCAGTGTAAATAACACTAATTATCTAGTACAATGTAAATAACAGCCGTAAGTAGCTGTACTGCAGTGTAAATAAGACTTCAAATACCTGTTTGTTTTTGTTGTTGTTTCAGAGTAAGCAGCTGAAGCAGGAGCGAGATGAGGCCCTACGGAAGCTGGAGGAGTTTGAAAGAGGTTTGCTGTTATTCTTCAGCTTACAGTGATCCTCAAAACCATAAATAAGTGTACATCTTTATAAAAAAATAAAAAGGCCTGTTTGGTCACTTATAGTTTTAACATGGCTAGTCAAACAGGCTGTGTTACACTTTGCACCTTTCCAAAGGTTTCTTTACGGTGCATCAAAGACAAGAAACACAAGAATACAACCTGGAAAACAAAACAAGGGGGGAGAACAGAAGGCAGAGCAAAACACTACAACACAAATGGCCAGATATACATGTGTGTCAGCTTTAAAGGAGATTTGGAGGAAAAAGCAAAATAAAGACGGTGGAAGATGAACATAATATGAACAGGACAGGAATGTTTAATTATAATACAGTAAAACATGCTGTAAGCCCAGGCAGGCTACGAGTAAAAGTGAGCGCAGAGCTGCTGTAGCTGCAGCAGGTCGTGCTTTTCTCTGGGAATTATCAGCGTGTTCAGGCTTTGGCACGCTGTGGACTCCGGACTGCTGTGGGCGTCGTTCAGGCACGTCTGAGAGGCTTAAACACACACAGACATTTACTCCTTCACTGCTGACACAAACTGAGAAGCCTCTCGGTAGTGCAGATCCAGTCATAACTTAGTGTGTAATGCAGTCATTAGGATAAACATGAGGGAAAACTGATGAGTGTGGTTGAGGATTATGTCGAGGACTTTATTTCTGCTAAATTACTTGGCTGGCTTTATATTCTGAAGCAGGTTGTGAGTTGTTTGAAGCATAATTATTGTTATTAGGATTGTAAGAAAGTATTGATACACTTGAGTATCGCAATATTGTATTTTGTAATACTGTACCGATTCTCAAAAACACAGTTCCGTTCTTTAATTAGTCACTTATATGCAAAGATTCGTGGCAGACAGTGGTTCATTTTGTGTTGATAGCAGTATTGTAATCTATTTTCAGCCATTAGACTTTTTTTTACTGATATTTTATGCATATGATGGTGTTTTTTATACTATGAAGTTTTAGAAAATTAGACAAAAAAATAGCAGTATATCGCCTTGCTTACAGTATCGCAGTATATCGCAATATATTGAATCGTAACCCTTGTATCATGATATGTATTGTATCGCCAGTTTCTTGCCAATACACAGCCCAATTGTTATGATAAAGAAATAAAAATAATAAACAAAACAGTTACACAAAGTATTTCAAAAATACATTTGATTTTTATTTGTTTATTTTGTGGTGCTACACCTCCGGTTTGCGTGCACAGCAAACAGAGCTGTGTCATGACACCAGTTTCACAAAGCTGAGAAGTTTGTAGCTGTTTCATGTAGACCGTTTTGTGAAAGTTTTAGCCTCAGATCAGTGCTGTAGGCATTAACCTCTGGAGAGAATAAAAATGAGACATGTCTGTTCTTTCCACATTTACCCTGTTACTCATCACCTGATATTCGTCAGTAGAATAACTGTGGAAAAAATATGAATGTGGAACATTTAGGCTGTTTTTAAACTGCCCTGAGACTGTGACATCATCCTTGAATCTAGATTTATCCCCAGATATAAGAACCTGTAGACATAAGCCTGAATGTAGCTGACTGGGTATATCTCATACGTTTCTAACTGTAACTTTGATATTTTACGTTATCGTCCTCCAATTTAGCACAAACTCAGCTTAAGTATAACACATATTAATTAGTTATAGCACTTAACAGCAGGTGCAAAAAAGTAAATGAAAAATACAGAAAAATGAAACAAAAAATCCGTATATATATCCAAAAAAACTGGAAAAACTTGTGATATGTTTTCCCATTCTTGCCTATAAGAGCTAGAATTTCAGCCTTTCCACAGTTCAGGGTCTCCTTTATCATATTTTTCATTTCATAATGCGGCACATGTTATCAGTGGTGACAGGTCTGGACTGCATGCAGGCCAGTTTAGCGCCCGGACTCTTTTAATATGCAGCAATGCTGTTGTAATACATGCAGAATGTAGTTTCACATTGTCTTGCTGAAATAATCAAGGCCTTCCCTGAAAAAGACGTCGTCTGGATGGCAGCATATGTTGCCAAAACATATATACATCGTTCAGCATTAATGGTGCCTTCACAGATGTGCAAGTCACCCATGCCATGTGCGCTAATGCCCCCTATACCATCATGAATACTGGCTTGTGAACTGTGCACTGATAACAAGCTGAGTGGTCTTTAGCCCAAAGGGCACAGTGTCCATGATTTCCATAAAGAAATTCAAATGTTGATATGTGCCCACAGGACACTATTACACTTCCCCTCAGTCCTTCTTATATGAGCTCAGGCTCAGAGAAGGTGGCAGTGTTTCTGGATCCTGTTTATGTACAGTTTCTTCTTTGCATTTTACAGATTTAACTTGTGTTTGTGGATGCAGCGACAAACTGTTTTCACAGACAGTGGTTTTCAGAAGTGTTTCTGAACCACCACAGAATCATGTCTGTTTTTAATGCTGCCTGAGGGCCCAAAGATCATGGCCAGCAAATACTTGTTGTGACTTGTTGTACCTGTCCCAACAATCACTGTTGTCGGAACAAAACTTCATATCTCCAATATGGTGACTTTACAGGAGAAGGAAAAAAACATATCTGAAAAAACCATGTCTGACGGCCTGCAGTGTTTGGCCGCTGTCATGTTGTTAGAAAATTTCTGCTTTAGCTTCGCAGCCCACTTGCAGTGTTCTTCTTGAGTTGTATGACATCAAATATTATGGAGCATTATCACTCCTTCTGGGTTTGCATTGTCATGCTAGCGTTTTTAGGTGTTTTTTGTGTTCTCATGTGGATGTAGAGATTTTTTAAAACGCTGCTGGTGTAGACAAAGATTTTTGTATGTACTCACTGAGCACTTTTTTAGGAACACACCTGCGCATTCATGCAGTTATCTAATCAGCCAGTCATGTGGGAGCAGTGCAGCGCATAAAAACATGCAGATATGTAGAAAAAATGTGATCTCAGTGATTTTGACTGATGGGCTGGTTTGAGTGTTTCTGTAACTGCTGAGCTCCAGGGATTTTCACACACAGCAGGCAATCTTTAGAGTTACTCAGAATGGTTAGCTATAAAGAAAAAACATCCAGCAAACAGGAGTTCTGCAGCCTTGTTGATGAGAGAGGTCAGCGGAGAATGGCCAGACTGGTTCATGCTGACATAAAAGCTATGGTAGCTCAGATAACCACTCTGTACAACTGTGGTGAGCAGAAGAGCATTTAAGAACACACAACACGTCAAGCCTTGAGGTGGATGGGCTACAACAGCAAAAGATCACGTTGGGTTCCACTTCTGTCAGCCAAGAACAGAAAGCTGAGGCTGCAGTGGGCATAGGCTTACCAACACTGGACAGCTGAAAACTGGAAAAGTGCAGCCTGGCTGGTGGAGGTGGTGTAATGGTGCTGGGAATGTTTTCTCGGCACACTTTGGGCCTGTTAATACCAATCAGTCATCGCTGGAGTGCCACAGCATGTTTGAGTACTGTTGCTGACCATGTGCATCCCTTCATGGCCACAGTTTACCATCTTCTAATGGCTACTTCCAGCATGGTAATGCACCATGTCACAAAGCAAAAGTGGTCTCAAACTGGTCTCATGAACATGACAATGAGTTCAGTGTCCTTCAGAGGCCTTCTCGGTCACTGGATCTGAATCCAGTAGCATGAATTGCATGACGTAATGACTTTAACATAATCTCAAAGGAATATTTTCACCATTTTGTGGAACTGAGGCTGTTTTGAGAGCAAAGTGAGGCCCTACCCAGTAGTTGTGTATAGTATAGTATAGTGAAGTGCTCGGTGAGCAGAGATATTTATTTTAATTTTAAAAAACCTGTGTTAAGAGCTGTGTCCTAATTCAGGGGCTGCGTCCTTTCGGAGGCTGCATTTGAAGGCTGATTGCATCACAGCGGCGTGACTAGGCCGTCCCATTTCAAAGGCTTCTTCATATGCAGCCGAGAAATGTGTAGAGCAGACCGTCTCATTTCAGTTCAGCCTTCACGGATCTACGCAGCCTTCGAAGGATGCGGTCTACTAGGTGGCAGCCCCTGAATTGGGACACTGAATGTTTGAGAGATTTTTAAAACAAACTCTACAGCAAAAGTTTGTGCATCAATGAAGCTGATTTCCGTTGGGGGGTTGAATCCCAAAACGCAGTCTTGCTTTGCCTTCCCGAAACAAATGCGTCTCTCTCTCTCTCTCTCTCTCTCTCTCTCTCTCTCTTTCTCTCTCTCTCTCTCTCTCTCTCTCTCTCTCTCTCTCTGTCTTTCTCTCTCTCTCTCTCTCTCTCTCTCTCTCTCTCTCTCTCTCTCTCTGTCCTTTGTTTAAACCCCCACACTTCACCTCTATGCGATGTGTGAAAATGCCGCGCTCCTGCTCTCCATGCAGAATGGGGGGAATTGGAACATGAGGATTGAATTGCGGAAAATTTCAAAAAGCACAACAGCTATCTGGCAACTGACAGGATGAGAGAGAGAGAGAGAGAGAGAGCATTCTCATTTTAATGCCTGAAATGGGTTATTATGGGCTGTGGTCAGAGCGAGGCGTGTTGGTTGCAGCTGAATCCACTGGCCTTTGCTCGTGTTTCCCCGCTCGGTGCATTGTGTACGTTTTCCACTTAAATAATAGCAGAGCCGACGCTTTTCAGAGCCATTACGCGATTTCATATCTCAGAAAATGACTTCTATTCAGAGAGAGAGAGAGAGAGAGAGAGAGGGAAAAACCTGAAAAAAGAAAGAAAGAAAGAAAAGAAAAAGAGAAAAAAGACGGGAAGAACCTTATAGAAAGAAAGAAAGAGAAGAAAAGAACGGCATAGAGAAAAAGAAAGAAAGAAAGAAAAAAAATTAAAAAGAGGGGAACGAGACAGCTCTCAAGATAGAGAGAGAGGGAGAGAGGAAGAGAAAGACAGAGAGAGGAAGGAAGGGAAGGAAAGAATCTAAAAGAAAGAAGGGACAGAAAGGAAGACAGGAAAGAAAGAAAGAAATAGAGGGAGAGAGGAAGAGAAAGACAGAGAGG